CCAATAATTTTAGATGGAATATCTTTATTACTAAAGATATTTGGGTCTAGAGAACTATTCAAAGTCTTCCAGAGAGATAGCTATAGTTACGTTGACTAAGATATAACAAAAGGACGTATCCGTTTACTACTTTACTTCTTAATTTACCATATTAACGGTTATGATTTCACCTCTACAAGATCTTTGTTTCACTTCCTTGTAAAGGGTATGAGTAAAAAGGCCAATATGCATTGTTGACAAAAAAAAAAAAAATGTTGTGTTTTCATTTGGCCTTTTAAATCTACCTAACCTTTCTTCAGATAATCATACATATAAAAGTAAGGTTTAATTCTCTTTTTATTGGTCTATTTGTAAATGTAACTTATTTTTATTTTTTTTTAATTTAATCATAAATAAAACATTTTTAACTCATACTTTAATATAAAAACTGAAATCATTAAAATTATACATTAACTATATTTTTCCACTCAATTTTATTAAATACACAATAAATTAGAATTGTAACTCCCATAATTTATTTATTTTAATTGTAACTTATCTCACTTCTCATCCTATAAATACTCATTTCTCATTCTCTCATCCTCTCATCCTCTCACCCTCTATAGCTCAAATCTTAAAATATTTTTTTGTTTTGTGTTCTTACATTAGTTTTTTTTTTTTTTGAAAGATGCATCTTCATTGTCTATTTTAGATAATCATCTTATAAGTAATCATTTATATATATGATTCTCTCATCTTCTTCTACTATATTTATGTGTCTATTTTTTATGTTGTTATATAGATTAAAAATCAAGAATTTGATTTTAAATTTATTTTAGAATGTATTATATATATATCTAACATTGTATTCATTTTTGTATATTTCTAAAGAAATACTAAAATATACTTATTTATTCTTTAATTTCCATATTTTTAGTTTAAATTCACATATGTATACTAAAAGTTTTGATGGTTATAACAAAATTTTCAGGTTTATTGGTGATGGATAGTTATATATATCAGTTCCAATCATAGCACAGAAGATAATGAAGTTGAAAAGATCCATTTCCATTATCTACTTTAGATGTTTGATTATTTTCTAATATATTCATGTAATTTTTTTAATTATGCAATATTTAATGAAATAAATTATTGTAATACATTTATTTATGGGGCTTTTGCAAAAATGCCACTTTTTCAATGCCACTTTTCAAAAATACCCCTTTTTAAAAATCATATAAAAATGCTCTTAAAAATATAAGATTTACCCAAATATGTATGTAATATTATTAAAACATACACAAACAACATTTCTATGTATCTAAAATCTTATAAATACTTTATAAATACCTTATAAATGCATTTTAAATACCTTTAAAAACCTTTAAAATATCTTGTAAAACCTTTGAAAAACCTTAAAAATCCTTTAAAATAACTTGTAAAATCTTTAAAAACACCTTATAAAACCTTATAAATACTTGGATCGAGTCTTCAAGTAGTAGTTCCAATCCATAAGTACATTATAAACCTAATAAAACTTTATAAAAATTTCAGATTTAAAAAGGGGCATTTTTATAAATGGACATCTAAAAGAGGCATTTTTGAAAAGGGGCACACCAAAAGGGGTATTTTTAACAATTTTCCTTTATTGAATATATATTTCTTATTTTTTTCTTATCTCGAATTAATTTTGTAATTTATTTTTAATATATGTATTATTATATTTACTTTTTGTGATCCAATAGATAATTATATAAAAATCGTTATAGTGTTTATTTTATTCAAAAAAATTTAGGTCTAAGTATTTTTTAAATTAAAAAGAATTTCGTTAAAACAAATTTGGTCCTTAAGATTAAAAAAACGAATCATATAGTTCAAGAAAATTAAATTTAGGTAGAATAGAAAATTAGAATGAAACGTAACACTCATACTTAAATAGAGTGAAATATATATAAAAAATAAATATAATTAAAAAAATCATTTTATTAAATCCTATAAAGATAAAACCATTAGTATAAAATCTAGCACTAGAATTTAAATTGATGAGTGAAAAAAAAAAAAAAGATAGAAGTTATCCTTGGATCTTTGATGATTTTAATTAGATTCAAGTTCATCTGATTTTTATAACAAAAATATATTTAGTTTGCCACTTGCAAAATAATTTGAGCTTGAATTATTATGTGGGAGTTTATATGTGGGAATTTTTATGTCGTTAATGCTCACACTAAATTGTAACAATACTCTAAATACAAATAATAAAAAATGAATTCTACACAATGAATGCTTTGAAATGTAACATAACTTTTATGATATACATACAATTAACTTACTCATAAATGACATTTAAACATAATTGTTAAAGTTGAATAGTTGTAAAACATAAATATGTTGTCTTCTATAAATAGTAATATACACATATCACAAACCATCATATTCCAAATTTCATAATATTGATAAATTTTATAACGCTTTCCTTTATAATCCGACTAATGGTTTTTCAGTATTACATTTTTGTCAATTTTGTAAGAGGCTGTGAAGAGGAGAGAATATGTAACCAAGAAACCTTACTCACAATCAATCGTATGTGCTATTTCAGAAGTCTTTTAAAAGGAGCGAGTAAAGAAACCCGAAGTTAGAAAATATACTAAGTTTGATTTTCTCTGTCCAAAACAATCAATCTATATAAACCTAAATTTTGATTGACTCAAAATAAATTTGATACTTTTGAAGTGAGATTAAGAAGAAAATCAAGAAGACTAATGATGAGTAGAAGGAAAGAATACAATTGGGTATGTTTCGAAACAATTTAAATGTTAAGTGGTAGTGCAAGCAGACGCTTGAATTGTATAATAGAATAATTCATCTCTCTTCACTTATCTCTTACAATATAATTCATCTATATTCCTACATCTATTTCTTAAACTGTAAAAAAAATTACAGAATAAATTATTTTGTATACATTTCTCAAATAAATTATGCTTTTACAAATAGCATAAAATGGTTATTTTATTAACGGAGAATAAACTAATAAAATGGTTTTTCAACATTTGTTACGTCACTTATGTGATTTTAAATATTTTCATTAAGTAGATAAACAACTTCGAATCAAGTTGTATCAAGATATAACGGTAGACTCATTTCAAAACTCAGCCCAAACCCAATATGTATAACATTTGGCTATGATATTTTCATTAAGTAGAAAATAATAGATAATTTGTTGTATTATCATTATATTTAAATTCTTTAAAGTGCAACAATAACTTTTAAAATTGGATAAATTTAGAATATCAAATTTACTATTAAAATATAAATTATAAATTGAAAACGATGTAACTTAATTTTCATAGTATGGTTTAATATTTTTACATTTTAACAAAATAAGTATTATTTATGTATACGTATTATATTACTATAATCATTAATTTTATCATCAACACTCTTAAAATTTCTAATTGGCATCAAATATTGTATTGATTAAAGCAGTAATATACTCTTAATTATTTATTTAAAAACATAAATATCATTGTATATAGATGAATACAATTCAAATTTTATAGAAAAAAACAAATTTGAATTTACTATGATTTATTTATGGGAGACTCACAAAAATGCCCCTTTTTCAATACTCTTTTTCAAAAATGTCCCTTTTGGCTGTCCATTTTTAAAAATATCCTTTTTTATGTACAAAATGACTAAATTACCCTTCTTTTAATAAAAGATATCACAAATATATAAGGAAATATAACAAAATTAGGTCCACAACATACAAAATATTTTTTGGCGGGAAAAGTGATCCCGCAATTTTTCCCGCCAAAACACTTGTAAAAACTTGTAAAACCTTTAAAATACCTTGTAAAATTTTCCCGTAAAATTTTTTCCCGCCAAAAAAATTTTTTTGCGGGAAAAGTGATTCCGCAATTTTTTTGGCGTTAAATTTTTGGCGGAAAAATTTGTGGCGGGAAAAATTTACAAGGTATTTTAAAGGTTTTTTACAGGGTATTTATAAGGTTTTACAATGTATTTTAAAAGGTTTTACAACGTATTTATAAGGTATTTATAAGATATTATAAGATTTTACAAGCTATTTTATAAGGTTTTACAAGTTATAAGGTTTTACAAGTTTTTTATAAGGTTTTACAAGTTATAAATACCTTATAAAACTTTTTAAAATACATTGTAAAACCTTACAAAACACTTGTAAATACTCCGTAAAACCTTTAAAATACCTTGTAAATTTTTTTCGCCAAAAAAATTGCGGAATCACTTTTCCCGCAAAAAAAATTTTTGGCGGGAAAATTTTACAAGGTATTTTAAAGGTTTTTACAAGTGTTTTGGCGGGAAAATTGCGGGATCACTTTTCCCGCCAAAAAATATTTTGTATTTTGTGGACTTAATTTTGTTTCAAATAAGGGTAAAATGGTCATTAAAAATTAAAAGAGGGCAAACTTAAAAATAGACTCTCAAAGGGGGTATTTTTGGAAAGGGGTATTGAAAAAGGGGCATTTTTAACAATTTCTCTTTATTTATTTATTTTTCTTTAAATTTTAGAACTGTATCTCGCGGCTAAATAACCTAGTACATTTAAAATTTGAGTTTCTTTTTCAAATTCGCAGTTTTGACTGACCGTTATTGTATCCAGCGACAAATTCTTGTTAACTTGATGATAAAATTTTGGTATTAAAATCTTCAATTTGGTATATACATACCTGGCCCAAAATGTGTTTTTTTTATCCTTCCTTCATGAGATCTTAAGGAAATTTTTTTTTTTGTTTGGCTCTTTCATTAACACATAAATTATTTTTGGTTTGAGAATAAATTTAGAAAACTTTTTAAGTTGATAATGGTCTCCGGATCTAAACGTCTTTCCCTACTGATTTGGGCCGGACCTGTTGTTGCCTTGGTCTAATAAGATTTGCATTTTTATATAAAAAGCTTGAGTTTTTTTTTCTCACCGTGAGCAATACTGCCTTTCTTGTGTTACATAAACCCTGAAGTGAAGTTTCAATAGTGGAACATTTGGGTAGGGTTTATGAAACGATACTTGGTTACTACTTATAGATTGTTCTTTTTCTTCAACAATGACAAAGCTGATTAAGATGAGATCATGATGGAAAGAGCATAGTAAAACTCATACATTATATAAGTCTTTTAGTAGTGGATAGGAGAGTTAAGGCCTTCTTGTGAAGAAAGTGAGCGGAGAGGTTGGTGTCTCCTTGAAGACATTGACGACAGTGAAAGAGACAGAGAAGGCATTCTCTTGAAAGAAGGTCTCCTATCGAGATTCCTCATCGTTCTTTTTGCCTGAATCGCCTTCAAAGCCGGTCCTGCTCTCTCCCTCAACTTTAGGACCACGAAGAAGAGAAGCCTGTAACACACAAGGATTGCTACGACCGCAGCTAAATCCCACCATTTTGAATATGTCACCTTTACTCCAAATACCTTCTCTATCACTTCTTCTCCTGTCATTTTCGGCTCACCCGGGAACATAGGCTCGAACTCTAGCCCTAGAAAATCGTTCTTGTACCCTCCCTGCAACAATCCCATATGTTCTTATGTTTAAAGACATTCAAAAGTTCAATCTTTTATGTTCTTGAATCGAGTTACTTTCTTGACTTACCTGGATAGCCCAAGAACCGTAGCTTATGTAAGAAACCGGGTAACGCCAAAAGATTTTGGGAAGATCAGGAAGAAGACGGAAGAATCCAGAAGTCATCATGATGATTCCCTTTTGTCAACATAAAACAGAAATCAAATTCAAGATCGTTCCAAGCATTATTAGTAGAAGTGAAAACAGAGGTTGCTCTGTTCTTACAATGAGGCCAGCTCCAGTGATAAGACCCATCAAGAAGTTTGGAACAACAGAAGCCACAACCATCATGAGACTCTCTATCACAGAAACTGAGAAGAAGATGTTGAGACAGAAGAAAGCGTAATGCGAGAACCCGGGACGAAACTTCACCAAGTTGTAAGTAATAGTTCCCGTGATAACCGATATCGCAACCAAGAACGGGAAAGAAGAGATGTAATTCGAGAGGATATAAACTGACACGCCATAGTATCCACTCAGCCTCTCTTTATAGAACACCTGAAAAAAGGCAAAATCACATTTTCATCGATAAAGCAAATCAAGATTTGTGAGATTTTAAGTAGGGATCTATTATTTACCTTCATTTCTTCGAGGAAAGAAGGGAAGCCTCCAATGGACATGAAAGTCATGAAACCAGTGATGAATCCGCCACAAGAAACTCGGGCTAAGATTGATGTGTAGCTATAGCCAACGTCGTAGAAGATGGTTCCTACACTTATAGAAACAACAATGTAGCTTATTATTCGTGTCCAATAGTAACCGACATCACGACACATGTTTATGAATGATCTTGCTGTTAATGTCCTAAGTTGTTTCCACCAGCTCGCTTCACTTCCTTTTCTTATTTCCATCTCGAGCCCTTCCTGCGAAAAAAGCCCCGTTATGGAGTCAAAGCTAGTCTGTGAGTTAACTAGAAAAAGGAGTTTAAACTTACAATGTTAGATAGTTCTCGAATCCTAGATTTTGCGGATTTCGCATACTTTGAACGCTTGTAATTCTCAACAAGCCTTGCTTTGATCACAGATGTTGCTAGATTCATCAGAGGATCCGATGTAGCTGGTGTTTCCTGTAGTAGAATAAGCATTGCCTTAGAAAAACTCGCAATCAGAAGATTGATTATTTATCCAAACGACTTTAAAAGTTTTCACAAGACATTGATAATGGTCAATCCCACACCTGAATTCTCTGAGATCCTTTGAGTGTAGCTGTGACTGTATCAAAGTCTGAGTTTATACATCTAAGAAAATGATCAGAAGGATTCCTTTTCTTCGGGCATGGAAAACCTGATTCTGCAAAGAACTTCATCCAACCATACAAAAGCAAAACAGAATTTTTTCACTATCAAGACAAGAAAATTAACAACGAAACTATTTAGTTCTTGTAGTGCAAGAAAACAAAGAGTTTAGGGTTTACCTCAACAGCAGACTTGGCTTCACCAAAGTAGACAGACTCACCACTCGAGAGCAAGAAAAGATCATCAAATAGCGCAAAAACCTCGCTGCTAGGCTGATGAACCGAGGAAATTACGGTTCTGCCATCGCGTGCAATGTTCCTAAGCGCCTGAATGACGAAAAACGCAGAAGCACTGTCCAAACCGCTTGTGGGTTCGTCGAGAAAAAGGATTTGAGGACGAGTGAGGATCTCCAAAGCAATGCTGACACGTTTCCTCTCACCGCCACTAACTCCTCTTGCGTGCCAGTTTCCAATGACTCTGTCTGAACAGTCTTGAAGACCAAGCTCCATGATTGTGCCTTCCACAATGTCACTCACTTCCTCTTTAGACATATCACTTGGAAGTCTCAAATGAGCTGAGTATGTTATTGTCTCCCTCACTGTTAATGTCCCCAGCAATATATCCTCTTGTGTCACATATGCCTATACATCAATGTCGATATATATCTTAGAACAACTCGTTTTGACCTTTGCACTATATACTTAGGTCGGCTCTGTCTAAAGTTTTGTTGCCATAAATGAAAATTGTTAGCGTTTCTCGACCACAGAGACATTTCGATCGAATGAACTAACAAATTAGTTGCATGGTGAGATCAAATATTAATGAGGAAACTTACTACGAGACCGTAGTCTAGTCTAGCTTTCTTGCCGTTTAATAGAAGATTACCGGTCATGACCACGTTTCTTGCGAGTCTACCTGTGGAATGTGGATAATTCGGGAATTTTTATTTTATTAATCGATTATAAATTAATCTATAAGTATATCTTAGAGAACGAACAAATAACAATAAACTGAAAAAAATGGTTTTTTTTTTTTGTATTGGGATGTGGGAAGGGAGATACTAGTATATCATAAGTAAAGAGAGAGTAGGTAACAGAAATGGCTGCCCCGGAAATCAATTTTGCATTTATGAACATTTTTTCTGCACTACTTTTTCTATCTTTCCTTGCATGCAACCGTTATGAGCATTTTAATAATTAACTCTTTTTTTTGGTATCTATAATCAACTTTCGAGTAATATATCAAAAGGTGATCATAACAACTAGTATAAACTAAATAGGGTTTATAACTTTAAATAGCAGGTTAAAGATGTGATACCTTTGGTATACAAAATATAATGAATTGGCAATAAAAATATGAATTCACAGCAATATAAACCATTTTGGCGTTTTTGCCTTTTTGGACGCCGAAGGTAACGTATTACAGATTACGGCGGCGAATATTTTAGACAAAAACATTATTATAAAAAGTACTATCAATAAATTACTTTAGTTAATTAACATAAAAAATTTCTTTATCAGAAGATTGATATGTGTTATGCATGCAGCAGTTGAATGGTAACAAGAACGAACCTGCAAGAGAGTCAAGAAGAGTGGACTTTCCGGATCCGGAAGGACCCATTATAGCCATGATCCGACCCGGTTCTGCATAACCGTTTAGCCTTTGAAGCAACCTTCTGGTTGGACCATCACTGAAATTGGGTATTACCACCGTCAAGTCTTCCCACGCCAAATACGCTCCACGGCTCATCTCTACCTTTGACGGCAGCTGCCTCCGGCCACTACTCGAGCCTTCCAGTTCCATTGTTTTTAGTTTCTCTCTCTCTCTCTCTCTAACTAGCTATAACAATGCTATATATAGAGAGAGATTTAAATGTTTTTTGTGTTGGTCGGAGAGTGAATAGTAAGAAGTAAGAACAGAAGAAACAAAACGATAAAAAAGAATTTATAAGCTGTGCAATCACCAAACACCTAAATTCATTTAATGGATTCGTCTTTAATATGGCAACAATTACAATTGCGCATGTATATCTACAATTTTGAGGGGTAAAATGTCAATGCATGTATATCTAATTATCAACATACGCATACGATATAATAATATTAGTACTATTTTTTTCTCACTAGTAAATGCGTATAGAGAAGCAGATAGATCGATGGCACGCGTATTAATGGATATAGTCGTATAGATCTTATAGTCGTGTAGATTAAGATTTCTATTATTTTGAGATTAGCTTTGCAACTTATGAGGTATGACATTAAATTTTGTAGTCGTCGGACAAAAACTCTAAACTCTCATGGCAAAATAAGAGAAGCTCTACATTAATTCTCAAATATTAAATCAGTTAATTGTGGTGATTAGCCAATAGCCACCAAAAGCAAGTCTATAAAATCTGACATGTTTTCAAACGCGAAAGTGATGTAGCTTTAAACAAACAAAATATCTGTCTCTTTCTGTCTTTGCCTTGGAATCATTGCTTGACCTTCAAGAATTATTGGTTTCGGACTTTCGGGTAAGGTGCTTTGGCTTGTTTGCAATTGGTGTTTTTGCTTTGTGGATGTTTCTTTCCTTTGGGTTTTAGATTCAGGTGATATCTTAGTTTACACCGGCTTTGTATTTAAAAAATGTATCCTTCAAGATTGTTAATGAAAATTTTAGATGACAAAAGAAAAAAAAAGGTAATAAACAAACAGAGAGTCAATGAAAAGGGAAGATAATTGAATGCGAGAGCGTAGTTGAAGCCCATATGATATGCTTATCTTCTGTTCATTCATTCTTGCTTTATAATATGCTTCTTCATTTATTATGGTCTAATTTTGTTATGGCATAACTTTATTTATCATATGATATGACAGGGAATTTTAAAATATGAAGTGATAACGTTGATAAAAGAATGAAGTGAAGACCTTCCAACCAAAGATAATAATTAAGAACCCATACAACAAAACTGATGTTACGATAAAATGTAGTATCTAATTAAATCTTTGGGATTGCCAGTGTCCTCAAGATTTGTTTTTTTTTTTATATTATAAACCCTATCGGCTGATCCGGTAAGCTTCGGTGGAAACGCACCAAAGTGCTTCAGAGTGGACTTCTCCACTAAGGACTACCACAATGTCTGTCCCGAGTTTGAAATGTTCCGACTTATGCCAGGAGTAGTCAGGCCGCCTGCATTTCTGACTACCATGTAAACCAATTGGGCCAAAGCCCAACTGACAGACTTCCCAAACAAATGTGTTTTTGTTTTCAGAGAGAATCGAACTCGGGTTTGGGAGTTTCACCTTTCACCAAAGCTTTCCCTACCACTAGACCACATATGCTTGGGCAGTCCTCAAGATTTAAACTAGTTTGAAATGAATTTAAACGGAGAGGATAATAATATAGTAGGAAAAAGTCACAGTCTCATAGACCACGAAAGCCACCTAATTGACGAAAATGAAACCTATATCGTCATTGATTGGAATGATATATTTGGAAACACCTAGTTTAGCTATATGTGATGTAATAATGCTCTATACATATTATGTTGTAAGAAAATATAATTTGATTCCATCTACCAAACTTGGGTTTACATGCTGATATCTAGTGTTAGCTTAGAATGATTGACAAGTCTTAACGTTTCTGAAGCAAGATTAAACCTTACATAGACTCGAAACAAAACCAACACAGATCATGTTAATCAATGTTCCTTCCAAATGTCAGATCTGACAGATCTGACAATGACTTTTTCGAGGTTAAAATGCAACCAACAACGTAAAGAAATCACCAAACACATGGCAAGCAGATAAACGTGGAAGTAAATTACATAGTTGGCCGCCAGTGGATTTTTTTTACTTGTTCTCTGGGTTCTGGGCCTTTACTTGGGCCTTTTATTGACATGCAGATTTTGATTTTCTTATATCTTTAATCTCGGAAAGAAAGAAACAAGTTTTAGCTTACAATGGAGAACAGCTTAGATTAGAGAGAGTGAGACCAAAATTGCCCAAAAGAACAAAAGTATGTAACATGATTTGTTTTCTTCTTTATTTCTGGCATTCATGATGTGACACCTACTCATACACCTAGGATACTAAAACTTATTGCCCCATGTTTAATTTTAAAATGTTAGATACTAGTCCTTGATAGTCATCATTGTTTTATCCATTTCCGGAAAAAAAGTAATACAGTTTTTTAAATCTTAAAGTATTTAGTAAAAAAAACGCTTATTAAAAACAACATAAAAAATAACGAAATTTTATTGTTTTGGCAAATTGATAATTCTCGTTTTCCATGAAGAGAGCATTTACTTTTTGTTTCATTATTGTCTGATGCATGGTTCTGGCAAAATTATACGAACTCTGGTCAAATTGACTATGACCATTGAGAACCTCACGTGTCCCCGTAAAAGCAATCTTCGCAGTTGACATAACTCTTGATTAACTTTTAACGGTGGAGATCAGATGAGAGTAAATTAAGATTCGGTGCACTCGTTGTAGTGGAATATAACCAACTGAGGTAAAATTTATGTCACGCGCGGGTTTTAGTGAGTCAGGGGAAAGTAAGCGCTCTTATCGAGGCAGGCCGGTTTCAGATTTTTTTGCGGTAAAAAAGGAAAACTGGTTAAGAGGTAAAAATTTGTTTTGTTTTCTAACAAGAATAATTTTTAGTAATTTCTTTTACATGGGCGTTACACCACCAAATATATGACAGTCAATTCTATGTTCTTTATAATTCAAAACTACCATACACAAGATTTTGCATAGTATTTAATATTTTTAGTGGTCGTGGTCAATAATATTTTTGGCAATCTCTTTCTTGTACTTTCTTCAACACCTTCTCAACCAAAGATACATTTTGGACATGTGGGAACAAACAAAATTGAGAATTATTTTTTGTTGTATACCATGCCTGGATTGGGTACCAATTGTTTGTTTTTGTAAGTTGTATCTTATATATAAAACTGCCTTAAATGGCTAACATATTAATATCATAGTTGTAAATTATTTAAATCCAATACTTGCCATTAACACATCTATTACTAAATTAAATTTATTTTAAATAACTTACAGATTTAGTTACATTTTTTTATTTTCCATATGTTTTGTATATAAGTAATCTCGTAACACATAAATTTAATTAATTTTAGATAGTTAAATAATAAATAACCAAAAATATCTAATTTTAGTCCGTCGAAATGATGAAAAGATAATAAAAAACAATCGCTGTGATTATTTTTCTATTTTTAATCGTTCAACCAGGACACGACATGTATAATCAATGAAGACCAAACCAATTCGTCGACTTTTTCATAATCGTTCGACACGCGGATGGATATAGCCTTTGTAAGCTAAAACCGCTCTCCCGGATACATGGATACCTTAATACTTTTGGCAAGTCGTGTGCATAATTTTTTTGTTATCTTAAATCGGCAAACTATTAGTATTGTAGCTATGAAATCAATTAAATCTAAGACATTTGAATGACATCTTTTTATTAAACTAAATTGTTTAAATAACATATAACTTTGATTGAACTTTATAAAGTAGTGATCTCATAACACAAAATTTAATTAAATTTAGTAGATTAATAATAAATAACTAGTAACACCTAAATTAGTAAATTCAAATTATGTAATAGACGACAAAAATTAAGACTTTAGAGTATTTTTTTTACATTTTTATATTTCGACAATCAAGGAAAGACACGTGAAATCAACGTAGAATCAACTTTCGACTACTCCAAAATAAAACTAATGTGCGTTCGACATCTATACATAGATTACGCATATAAAACCAAATCCGAATAACTCGAAAATGCATGAATACCCAAATATTCTTGGAAAGTTGCGTTTCATAATTCTTGTGTCTAAATATTTTTCGATCTCTAGCTAATTAAGTACAAATCAATTAAATAAATCTAAGTCATTTGAATAAGAAATCTTCTTATTAAACTAAATTGTTTAAATAACGTATAAATTTAATTTGATTGAATCTTACATATAAGTATTTTCGTAACGTGTAAATTTAATTAATTTAAGAAGATTTATAAACATAACAAAATCAATAACAACATATTGTTTTAGTACAAATTTAGGTATATGAATGAATAACAACATATTTTCCAAAGAATCAAATCCAACTAGCTGACTAAGAAATAAAAAGTTTTCAAAACCAAAAACTCCATGCATCCAATGGGATATATATAACCCCCTTGGTTGGTCAATGGAGTACTATTGTTATACAACATCTTAATCTTTTTAACAAAAAAGGAAAACAAATTCGATTATAACTATAATCCCGCTCCTAGTCTTGGACGAACTTCAAAAAAAAAAACCCTAAACCCGATAACACAAAAACAGAACCCGAAAAGAAAGAACACATTACAAAAGTAGTTTTCTCTTTTTTTTATTTTATTTTATTTTTATAAATGTTCATTAGAAGACAAAATCTTACTCTCAAATCTCCTAAAAAAAACATCACATTTAACGCTACAAAAAAACCAAGTTAGTACCCACTACTCTCAAAGAGCCTCTTCTTCTTCTTCTCAATCTCTCTGAGAGAGAAACCAAAAAAAGAAAAGAAAAGAAATTTACTCTGAATATGGATCCGGGAGATCCTACTTCGATACTTTTCACAAAGATCAGAACTTTAGAACCAGACTTCGCTTCAAAAATCATTGGTTACTTGCTTTTACAGGACTTGGGTACGAGAGATTTGATGCGTTTGGCTCTTGGACCAGACACTCTCTTGCAGTCCGTTTGTCTCAAAGCTAAATCTGCTTTAGGTCTTTCTTCTAATGGATCTTCTTCTGCTTCGTCGCCATTGAACCCTATCTCCAGACCCATTAACATCCACCGTCATTCTCTGTCTCAGTCTTCACCGGGAAATGGGTTTATGGAGTTTTCGAGGAACAACCCTTTGTCTCCTTCTTTGACTACTCCTGGTTCACTCGGAAGTAACCCTAACATGATTTCGAGTCCGTTTCAAGCAAGTTCGTCTCTTTTTGCTTCTGACGGTGGTGCTGCTGGTGATTCCACTGGAAACGGCGATTTCCTCGATGAGCAGCAACTAGGGAACTACTTGTCGTTTCTTAACGAGTCTTCTTCGAAGAATAACGACGAATCTCTGGATCCGTTTGGGTTCTCTGCTGATAATGGCGATGCCCATTTGCATAAGAGGAGTTTCTCTGCCAGTGATGCTTGTTTCGGCTCAGAAGAGCCCGGATTTGGCGGCGGCGGTTACAATAGGTTCCCTCACGGTGGTTTAGGTGATGATTTTGATTCTCCTGGTGGTTTTGGCTCGCCGGATTATGTTTCCAGGCAGCAAGAGGAGATGGTGAGGATGAAGATGGCTCAGAGACAGCGAATGGCCGCTGCTCAGTACTTGGCGGCTACTGGTTCTCCAATGTCGTATGAAAAAGGCCTCAATTTTCTCTTGCATCAACGTAATGTGCATAGGTAATTATGAAATGAAGCTCTTTTTTTTTGCATAAGAATGTGTTTTTGGTTAGAGATTTTACAAAAAATGTGTTGGTTGCAATGGATCATGAAAAAGTTTGTATCTTTGTGATTTTTTTTGGGTCTGAGACGTCAATTATTGCTTATATCATTGTGGTTCTCGAAGTCGTTTTCCTATGGTTTTACTACTTTTGGTATTCATTTACAAACCAATGATTGGTTTTTTTTTTCTTAGGCTCTTTAGTCAATCTTATGTTTGCAGTATGATTGAAGAAATGTTCATAGTTTTCTGTTTTTGGTGGTGTTTTGTTTTTGCAGATCAGGAGCAGGACAATATGGGGAAGAGGGTTACTGGTTTGGTAGTCCAGGCCGGCATGAAAGGGATGAGTTTATGGGAATGGGAGATAAATCTAACTCTGCTTCTAAACAGATTTACTTGACATTTCCAGCTGACAGCTCCTTCACAGATGAAGATGTCTCCAATTATTTTGGGTAAACTTTCAAAAACACAATTGGATCAAAGCTGTTATGTGTTTGCATCATTAAAAGTTTGGTGGATGTCTAACTAATGTTTGCCTGGCTCTGTTATTGAAGATTAATAATGTTTGTTGTTTTCTTGTAGCACTTTTGGACCAGTGCAAGATGTTAGGATTCCATACCAGCAGAAACGGATGTTTGGGTTTGTCACTTTTGTCCACTCTGAAACTGTGAGAATCATATTGGCGAGAGGAAATCCTCATTTCATCTGTGACTCACGTGTGCTCGTTAAACCGTACAAGGAGAAGGGAAGAATCCTTGAAAAGTATGTTGAAACCACTGCTCAATTGCTCATGCCTTGTCTGTTTTTTCCTCTCCTTCCCACATCATACTTCTCTTTCGTGTTCCCTTTTTCTGATAATAATTTTCATCAAACAATAGCAGGAGGCAGCAGCAACAACTGCTGCAGCAGATGGAGAGAGGAAACTTTTCTCCTGGTTCAAGTCCATCTGGAATGGATTCCAGAGATCTCTTTGAATTTCACCTCTGTTAGTTGAATTTCTTTCGTACCCTTGATTCCCCATGTGGATATGGTTTTATTAGAGCTCAATCTCTTCTCTCTATTTTTTGGTATTTGTTCTGAGAACAGTCTTTTTGTTTGCTACCAGCACCAAGGATGTTTTCGAACACACAGGAGATGATGAGGAGAAAAGCTGAGCAAGCTGACCTGCAACAAGCAATAGAATTCCAGAGGAGAAGATTTCTGAATCTGCAGTTGCCCGACATGGACAGTGAATCGTTTCTCCATCACCAGCGTAGTCTTTCTATTGGATCCCCCGTTCATTTTTCCCCTCGTGTCAATCAAAGCATGCTCTTTCGATCAGAAAACACCAGTGATGAAGTCTTCGAAGGTTATTCTATCTCGCCTACATGGAACTTGGCTTTATGTAGCATTTATTTACTTTTGCCCTCTTCCGTGTTTCTGCTTAGCAGGTAATGGTGATTCAGGACATTTTCAGTCTGAAGCAACCCGAGCTTTTCTGAGTGATACTGGTCACAACAGCAGCCAAGAACGTGTTTACAATAACCATCTCAACAAAGGGTATGGCTACTAAGATAATAAAAATGGTTTCTGATCATTTTCAGGGCTTTAAGTCTTCTGTATCATCATTTTCTTGTATTTTAATTATTATTGCTCAAGGCAAGAGACAACTCTGGAGAACGCTCTGCCTGATAGCTTCTTTTCTTCCCCATCGAAGACCGGTGAAACCCAACACCCCGAGTTTGAGAAAGAGAATTGTGCTACTCTCGCTGTTACTACAGAAAATAAGGCAGCCTCGTCAATTCAATCAGCCTAGCAATTGGTAGGTGCAAAATTTCCCTTAATTCAATCACATTATCGCATAACAATCATTAACACTTGTTATTACCTCTTCCTGGAACTTTCCAGGTTCGATAGAAGCAGGAAGAAAGTGAGAAAAGGTAGGCATTTTAAGCCAGCTTGGAACTTGAAGTTCATGTTATTGGTTATGAACTGTTGACATGGTTTTAATTTCTTTGGTTGCAGAAAAGTAGAGACTGATAAAAGCAAGAAGTAGAAGAATTTTGTCTATATGTAGAAGCTAAAGCCGGTTTTATAACATGGAACAGAAAGAAGGGTAGGGAGACCAGTTAGGATTTTACATATCTCGAAAAAGGCAGTTGTGGAATGCCAATCTGCAATAGAAATTTACAGCTAAGTACTAACCTCGACAAAGCATTGATAGGCAGAACAATACAGTGACTGAAACCTTCAAGTTTTAAGTTTCCGTCTGTTCATCGATGATTGTTTACCTTTTTACCGGGTCATAAGCCCTGGTTCTGGACAAGGCTACTTCAGTTGTCAATATAGATGAATGACTTTTTCTTAGTTTTGTTCGTTTCTTTTCTGATACAACTATTCTTATTCACCAAGCCTGTGTCGAGAACAAAAGCAAATGGATTCTTTTAGAATTCGGGTTCTTACCCGTGTCAATTAGTTTTTACATGTTTATTCGTTTATAAAAGACTGCTCAATTTGAACTGAAGCTCTCTTTGGTTCATAATCAATTAGGACAACAATGCAACAAGAAACAGACTTATGCTCTCTGCCCCTTTGGCTAAAGGTTATATAAAAGATCAAAGTTGACGGAGAGATGAAAGTGCTTGGCTTGTGTTTCTTGAGATTCGGTCATGTATCGGTTCCTGTCAACAAAGCTATAGATCAATACGCTTGAAACTAAGATACAACGCGGGTGATAAAGTATAATTTTGGGATTGATAAGGATCATACCTGAGTCGGAATAATGTCAATTCTTGATCCAGTGATAGTTTCATACAAGAAAATGTACCTGCCATCATCGCGGTTTCTTGAATCAGTTTTTAATATCGAGACTACTAGAGAAAAATCATAGTCTAGCGAATGTCTGAGCTCACAGAGCCTAAAGCATGTACACACACAATGTTTCTTTCCATATGGAAAACATGTACTAGAACAATCCTATTACAAAGTTTACAGATCAAAATACATACCGCCAAGCTAATTCAGTCACGAGTTCTGCTGGAGCAGCAGGCAGGACCTGACAATCACAGGCGAGACACCAAGAATTTTAGAAGGGATTCTCAGATAGAGCAGGAGAAATGGAAACTACATTGTGAAGATGTAAGTATACCTCGTCCTCGTAAGGATTAGAGTTCTCTTTGAACCACAATCTTAGGAACTCCTATTTGGTTTGAAAAAACAAAAGAGAACATGTTAGAGAACAAAGTGCTACAAACCAATGAAACCTCACTGAGAGCAAAAACAGGCACAATCACTAACCTTATCAACATTTTCAGGCTCCAGGCCTTTTTGGAAGCGCTCTTCATATGAACCCGCAAGCCAGTATCTGCTGGAATCGGGTGTATGAATCTAGGCACAATATGTACAAGTGGATGATGATTCTAATCAGTGATTTTGGCAGTTATGCAGATATGTGTTCAACTATGCATGTGAAGAGAGACAGACATGGAAACGAATAGATAGATAACAGACCTCATCAATCAATAAGATTGAGCCATCACTACTTCTTCCAAACTCATACTTTGTGTCCACCAGTATCAGTCCATGTTCCTTGGCAACACGCTGAAGCAAGTATGATATAATTAAAATCTATTAGACTCCAACAAAGCACAACATTTGAATATTGAAGCAAGCAAAATATATCAAGAAACTAATTTCTTGTGGTCTGCACTTTAGAGATTATGAAATCACTATAGTCTACAGCTTTAGACGGAGGAGTTGTAACTAACCTGCCCAAACTCAAACAAGCTCAAAGCTTTCATACTTGCTTCATCAAATTCAGCTTGAGTCATGAATCCACGTTCAACTATCTGCAAGAATCATCTGGAAAATTAGAACTACACAATTGTGGCTTAAATATTCTTGTCTCACAGCTAAGCAGATCACAGGAAGAGTAAACTCATGACTCAAAAAACTTATATTATGGTTTCTACATTTATTTACTGTAACAGATTATTAGACCTCATTTGGAGAGATGGGCACATCATGATCCGCAGCCTTAGTTGTTGGTGTAAGTATATTAGCTGGAAGCTTCTGGTTTTTTACTAATCCTGCATAATTTAGTAATCAGCATATCAAAGATCTTCTAAGATGCACTTAAAGAAGAAGACAACTAATAAATGGCAATAAAAGAAACTGTACCATCTGAGAGCTCATTCCCACAATAGTTCCGAACACCTTTATTGTACACCGTCCATAAAGATGTGTCAGTACTTCCAGTCACATATCCTCTAACTACAAATAACAAACATAAGAGAACAGCTTAGAACTAAAGCAAATAGAGGCTGCATAGGGAAGCGTCTAACAAGGTACTCTGTATCTAGATCCAATACGCACTAACCCACAAACTCTATGGGAAAAACCGAGCATTTCTTTGCGATAACAACATTTCTATCAGGAGATGAAACGATGGCATTTGGAGTTATGTGCTGTGTGTTATTGAACCACCACAAACTTGTCTCATTAAGAACCTGAAAGTTAAGCACCACAAACTCAGTATTCGTTGCAGTTTGATCTACAGACCAACGAAGACAAATTCAACACTTTAAAGCTATCCAACTTGAATATAAAGCACAAACATGGAGAAAAACAAACCTGGCCTTTGAAGGGAATTGAAGCAAGGTTTCTGTCAAATGCACTCAACCGATCAGTTGTAATAAGAATCAGATAATCACCGGCATCATAAATATCTCTGACCTGCAAAATCAATTTCACTATTATGATCAGTTCTCAACTCTAAACTTATTGTATTGGTTTAGCACATGCTTGGTCTTTTTCACACAGATATGAAACAAAAAGGAAACATCACTAACCTTTCCCTTGATTCTAGATTTCAGACCAGGAACAGTCGCAAGAAGATTCGTCTCAGAGAGACAATTAGAAAGCGAGCCTTTGATTGTGCCAAGAACCTCTCCTTTCCGGTTACTCGTGACTAAATCGTCAAGAGACAGTTGCGGTCGCTCCTCCTGCTGGTTTTGGACCTTGCCCTGGCAAGACATAACCAATGAACAGGGTTTTGGATATTTCTTGAACTCCGGTAATGTTCTAAGGAACGAGACTGATGCAAAAGCTGGGTTTTTTACAGTCACTCTCTTAGTGACGCTGTGGGGTGTTCTCAAAGGATTTAGAGTTGACCTTACACACTGAGCCATTCCAGTAACAGTCCCTAACACCTACACCACAAGCAAACCAAAACCTTAAATTGTTAAAACAATATTGAACCCGAATTCAGTAGTAGCCACAGAGGCAAAACAAGAAGATAGGAAGGATTCTAAACAGTCAGGATTATAGTCCAAAATAGACTCTAGAAAGGAAGAAGAGCAGAGATATACATAAAATTGTGAGAATCGAACATGAGAAAAGAAAAAAGCCAAAACCTTTTAGCAAAATAAGCTGAAGCCGGAGAAGAGAACGAAGGAGCGCAACAGAGTCAGTTCTGATGAACAGAGAGACAATAGAAGCCGGCGGCGAAAAGTAGGGAGCGAACACTGAGCTCGGAATCTGCGTTTGCGTTTAAAAACCTGAATGTTTTGTTTTTTCCTCACTCATTAAAATTGTTAGTTAATTAAGGAAAAAATATATACACTATAACCAGAGGAAAAAAAACACGGCTTTGCCCTCCGCGTCTTCTCTCGGAGATTCAAGATCCGTCACCGTCACCTCTGCATTCTTCAACATCTGTGTTTTTTACCTGAAAGTGAAACCTAAGGTGTAACCTTTATGTGAAGATTGTGAAACCCTCAAGAGAGATTGATGCCAATTTAGCAGAGGGATAGATATGGCGAGGCCAACGGGGAAGCAGAATTGTGGGAGGGTTGTGCTAGTTTCATGCCTCGCTCTTTTAGCTGCCGGACTTGTTGCTGACTTTCTTTGGGCTTCTTCTCATCGTTTCTCCTCCGTTGGAATGTCACTTCCCTCCTCCGTTACCACTGTGATCGGACAACTCCCTCCTAATTCCAATGTAAATGGTTCAATGTTGTCTCTTGTTGATGTAATTAGATCTCAAGCAAAAGAGAATTAGCTCAGCATACTCACTTCTGTTGCTTTCTCAGGGTAAAGACACTGAGAAGAAGAAGAAGGATAAAGTTCGGGAGAGGAAACTTTCTGCAACGTTTCAAGATTTGGCTGCTCCTGAACTTAAATGGGAGAAGATGACAGCTGCTCCTGTGCCTCGTCTTGATGGAGCTGCAATTCAGATTAGGAATTTTCTATATGTGTTTGCTGGATACGGCACCATTGATATTGTAAGCCTCTTATATCTTTCTTTACCGGAGAAAAAAGATATCTTTGATCAGTAGCATTTGGTTGGTTTTTGATGACCAATGATGTGAGTTGTTTTATGACATTCAGGTACATTCCCATGTTGATATATACAATTTCGTCGATAATACATGGGGAGGAAGATTTGATATGCCAAAAGAGATGGCACATTCACATTTAGGGATGGTTACGGATGGGAGATATATCTACATTGTTACTGGTCAATATGGTCCTCAATGTAGAGGGCCTACAGCTAAAACATTTGTGCTTGACACTGATACAAATTCGTGGAGTGACTTTGTTCCTTTTCCAGTTCCTAGGTAATTTTAAAACAAGTAGATGCAATTTGGAATATCTGCAAACCAGTTCGGGTTTGAGAATGGCGATTTACAACATTTAGATATCATTTTGCTGATCAAGATTACTCTTTTCTGTGATGACAAATGATTAAATGAAATTGAGGGAAAAACTTATTTACATTCAGGTATGCTCCAGCTACTCAGCTATGGAGAGGAAGACTCCACGTGATGGGTGGAAGCAAGGAGAATCGGCATACACCAGGGCTTGAACACTGGAGTATTGCAGTAAAAGATGGGAAAGCAATGGAAAAGGAGTGGAGAAGTGAAATTCCAATCCCTCGTGGAGGACCTCACAGGTTCACAACTCTGTTGAACTCTGTTGTAGTTAATCCTTATAGCTTCTTAATACACCATCCTCTATTTTATTTGAGTTCGACTGTGCTTGTGAGTGTAGAGCATGTGTGGTAGTGGATGACCGGCTTTTTGTCATTGGGGGTCAAGAAGGTGATTTCATGGCTAAACCAGGATCTCCTATTTTCAAATGCTCACGCCGTATGGAGGTATCTAATAGTCTACCTGTTTAATTGAATATCATAACTCCTCCTCCATTAATGCAATTCCTCAACTGTTGCTATTTTATGGACATCGTGTGTGTCCTTTCTTTTACCTTGGTGGTTCAGGTGGTGTTCAGTGATGTCTACATGCTGGATGAGGAAATGAAGTGGAAAGTTATGCCATCGATGCCAAAACCCGATTCCCATATTGAATTTGCTTGGAAAGTTGTTAACAACTCCATTGTAATTGTTGGAGGCACCACAGAGAAGCATCCTGAAACCAAAAAGATGGTCCTTGTTGGTGAAATCTTCCAGTTCAACTTGAATACAATGGTAACAATCCAAATGGCCTCCATGCTTAAACCTCTCTTAACCTATAAAAAGTGTAAACAGTAGCTAAGATTTTTCTCTCTGCAGAAATGGTATGTGATTGGAAAGTTGCCATACCGTGTGAAGACTACACTGGTTGGGTATTGGGAGGGGCAGTTATACTTCACCTCGGGGCAACGAGACAAAGGGCCAGATGATCCCGCACCGCGTAAGGTGATGGCAGAGATGTGGAGAACCAAACTGATATTGAATCCATGAAGAGAGACAGAATCAGTCTCCCTTTTGTAATGCAAAGTCAAAACATTCTTTTCAAGTTAATATTATTTGAGCATAACTCATCCCACTACACAAACAGTAGTTTTATCTATCTTCGATATGTTGATGGAGCATTTGTATATTGTAAACAAACATTTTAGAAACCGGACACCGTTTTTTGAAAATCATGAATGAGAAAAAGTTACACATATTTCTTTGGTTGTGGCTGAATCAATTTCATATTTCTCGTAATAGCATGTTAGTCCCAAAAGCCCAAATTTAGCTGAATCTAAGACGAAGCCCATAAATAGAAGAAGCATGTATTCTAACTTAACCCTAGTTTCTTTGAAATCCCAATACCCAAGTGACATTCGCTTTCAAGGCTTCAAGCACAATGCATCTTCCGGAGGATTTGGTAGTGGAGATACTCTCTAGGGTTCCTACTGTATCTTCTCTGGCACGATTGCGATCGACATCCAAAAGATGGAACACTCTGGTCAAAGATGGGAGACTTGCTAAGAAGCACTCTGCTTACGCTCCAAGGCAGTCTCCTCTGGTTATCATGTTGATTAATTTTAGGGTTTATTTAGTGAGCATCAATCTCAATAACAACGTTCCCCCATCTGCAAAGGTAACATGTCAATTCAGCTTAAAAGATCCTCTTTCTATTTTTTCCAAAGAAATCGATATACGTAGCACCTTTCACTTGGACGGCTTATTGCTATGCAATACCAAAGACAATAGATTGGTTGTTTGGAATCCATGTTCAGGTGAAACAAGGTGGATCCAACCTAGATATTCCTACAAGGATTCCGACTGTTATGCTCTCGGTTACGATAACAAATCCTCCTGTTACAAAATCTTGAGGATGCATCGATTTTTTGTTGGTAACATATTGCACATTGAGTCCGAAGTCTATGACTTTGCTTCTCATTCGTGGAGAGGTGTTGGTGAGTCTACCAGCTGGTTCATAACACAGATTAGTTGTCGTCGTGGCGTGTGTGTGAAGGGAAATACTTACTGGCTTGCTGGTGGTCAATACGAGCCGCGAAATGATCATTTCTTACTACGTTTCGATTTTTCAAGTGAGAGATTCCAATTTCTGTCTCTCCCAGCGGATGCTCGTCGTGATTATGGTAATATGGCTTTATCAGTGACTAAAGAAAATCAACAACTTTGTTTGCTAGCTACCCAAGTATTAGATATAAATGTATGGATGGCAACTAAGATTGAGAGTACCGGAGCCATTTTGTGGAGCAAGTTCCTAACAGTGACGGGAGCCGATATCCGCTATCGTCTTCAATTTAATATCGGGATGAGTTTCTTGGTCGACCATGAGGACAAAGTTGTAGTGTCTTGTAACTCAGTGTTTCCAAATATCATACACATTGTGGGAGAGGATAAATACATAGAAGTAAATCATCATGGTGCACAACCTAGACACATCCCATATCTCCTCAGTTATGTTCCAAGTTTGGTTCAAATCCAACAAGGTATCTAAGTTCTTTGTGTAATTGTCACACACTAGCTAGTTTATGCATTTATCTTATAATCTAACTCTTGATATTCAATAGGATGTGTTTTGCTATTCTATAATTTTTTCCCAAACTATTCCAGTTTTTTCATCCTCTGCGAGTGGATGATGTTAGTTCTTCTTTTGTTAAACGAGCTCGCATATATTGTCTTGATCATCAAAATTCTTATGGTTTATTTTATGCGAACACAAAGACCAGTTGCAATACTTAGGTTTCTGAATGATCTCATGACTTGGAGCTAGGAACAAGTGTGTCACCTTAGATTTTGTTTTGGGTTGAGCTTCGTACGTGTCTTTTTGATATTGGTTATCGAGTTATGTTGCATAATAACTAGTAATTGAGAGACATGGGTCACCATCCACAGTAGTTTTATTGAAATTAGTGTTTGAGACTGGTTGTCAAAGATTTTGGGGGTTGTAGTAGATGGAGTTATAAAATCTGAATGAATGAGTTACATGGAGTTATTTTCCTCCTTTACCAGTTCCATGTATGCAACGTGATGAAAAAAGTTTACCTTTTAGATTAAAAAAATAGATACAAGTTGGATATTTATGCTTTGTTTTAAAGTATTAGAAAAGTGAAATTCCAATACTACATCTCGTGAGGACCTCTCACAGTTGGTCAAGATTATATTCAATCTATTTTATGTGACATATAGTAGCGTTTATCAATTTAAAAACGCTATGAAAAAATCAGTATATCAACCATAGCAAAAACAAATAAACCCCTTGTAATGCTAATAAAATTCAATATTCCCCGTTGCATTTCTGTGAAAGAAACTACAAATTTGGCCATATTAAAGAGTCAAAAAGACCAATCACGAAACGGAAAACTTTTGTTTCCAGTAGAAGCAGTAGGCCTCTCCTAATAGCAACGGAGGCCCACAAGCCCAAAGTCAGCTGATCTAGGACGTGAATCAGTTAGAATGTTTTTAGGTCTAAAATCTCTCATCTCCCTTGTTTACTAAGAATTGAACCCTAATCTTTTTCGAAACAGTCGTTTTCGAGCACAATGCATCTCCCTGAGGATTTGGTAGTGGAAATACTCTCTAGGGTTCCGGCTGTATCTTTGGCAAGATTACGATCAACATCCAAGGAATGGAATGCTCTGATCAAATATGGGAGACTTGCTAAGAAGCATTCTGCTTATGCTCCAAGGCAGTCTTCTCTGGTTATCATGTTGATTAATTTTAGGGTTTATATAGTGAGCATCAATCTCCACGGAATCAACAATAACAAGGATGTTCCATCTGCAAAGCTAACAGGTCAATTTAGCCTAAAAGATCCTCTTTCTAACTCTTCAGAAGAAGTTGGTATATGTAGCGTCTTTCACTGCAACGGCTTGTTGCTATGCACCACCAAGGCCAATATACTGGTTGTTTTGAATCCATGTTCAGGTGAAAAAATGTGGATCCAACCCAGAGTAATTACTTACAAGGAATTCAACCACTATGCTCTAGGTTACGATAACAGATCCTCCTGTTACAAAATCTTGAGCGTGGATCGATCTGGCTATCGTTTCCCATTTCAAACTGAGTACCAAGTCTATGACTTTACCTCTAAATCGTGGCGGGTTGTTGGTGAGACTGGAGGCTTGCTCATACCACGTATTCAGAGGCTTGGCATATCTGTGAAGGGAAATACTTACTGGCTTGCTAATAATGGACAAGGACGTGTTATCTTACAATGTTATGATTTTTCTACAGAGAGGTTCCAAAGTCTGTCTCTTCCCAAGGATGCTCCTAGATGGTATTCTGATGTGGCTTTATGAGTGACTAGAGAAGAGCAACAACTTTGTATGATTGCTCTTCGGATCCCTGAGGTATGGATAGCGACTAAGATGGAGAGTACCGGAGACATTTCATGGAGCAAGTTCCTGACAGTATCGAAATTCGATCTCCGCCATCATTTGCGGTTTTGTCTTGGGATGACTTTCTTGGTCGACCAGGAGAACAAAGTTGTAGTGTCTTGTAATAACTCCGTGTTCTCCGACAACATTATACAATTTTTGGGAAAGGATAAATACATACATGAGGATCAACATGGTGCTAAATTTCCTACCCCACGTCTCCTCACTTATGTTCCAGGTTTGGTTCAAATTCAACAAGGTATCTAGTATCTTGGAGGAGGTAGTTTGTGCACTGTTTATTTAAAATGAAAATGGTTCTCTCTTCACAGAAGAAGCATTCTGAAACCACCAAGCCGCTTCTAGTTTGCAACATTTTTACTTGAATGCGATGGTAAAAACCGATGGGCCGCATGATCAAGCCTCTCCAATCGGTTATTATAATCCAGTTCATGTTTATTTTTTTTTACATTGAAATTAAGCTCATTCTGCATTTTTTAAACCCAACTCAGTCACTACACAGATTACAAGTTATAGTCTATTTATTTTCTCTGTTGATGGGTTTTTTTCTATATTGTAAACTTAAAATACATGTTTTGTAGCAATTTCGAGTTATAACACATCTTTGGTCATGATTACAACACATGTTTTACTCATGAGTTCATGACCAATATGGTTTCTTATCTGTTTCTTGCTCTATTATAAAGAAGAAAGAAAAATTTAAGCCTGCATCATCAAAAACTATAGATCAGAGACATCTTAGCTTAGCAAGACACAGGAGTCCTCACTTATGTTCCAACTTTGGTTCAAATCCAACAAGGTATCTAGTGTAGTTTTCTTTGAAGAGGCTAAAGAAAAGTACAAGAGCTAGTGTGGTTTATAATTGTCACACTAATTTATGTATAATCTTTCCAACTAATTTATGCGAGTGATTTGTTTATTTGAATGCCAAAATAATATCTCTAACTTAGGATGGCTCTCTCTTGTATGGCTGCGGTACCAAACACACTCATACATAGCGGTGCAGTGATCTCCGCCATCGGTGAGATTATTGTAACGATTTAGTATTTGGCTTTGGTAATTTCAAACTTCCAAAAACATCATTAATGCCAAAATAAATATTAAAATCCCGGATTTCCACCCTATATTTCCAAATTGACGTTTTTTAAACCCCCAATTTTGTTTACTCTACAAAAAGGAGGCCAAATCATAGAAGAAAGTAAGAAACTACAAAATTTCAGCTAGTCAAAAAGAGGAAAAGAGGAATCAGATAACATTCTATTGGTCCTACTATTTTAAACGGACCCGTATAGAGTAGCAAAAGGGGCTTGTCATTTCTGCAAATTCAGCTTGACCTTCTCCATCACTTTCCATAGTGCAGATTTAGCTTCTTCTAGTGTCTCAACACCATGACCTTCCTCAAATGCTAGCCTTTGTATGTTAAACTGCAAAAAAACAATATAATTGAGCATAGAGAGATAAGCTGAGAGGCACTGTGAATGATCATAATTGTGTCTACATCAACTGGACAAAACTGTTTCATACAATGATGTTTTACCTGAGCACCTTGACGAACCCGTACATCTATTCCTTTGCTATCTATAGAAATTAGAGCAGCATCGTCTACCTCTGATTCAGTAGACAGTAGCTCTCTCAGCGGTTTCGAGAAGATGGCATTTAGTTCCTATCAGAAGTTATAGGGAAAGTACGTTAGAGCACACTCGAATCAATCCAGTTTACAAAAGGCCAAGAATGGGGAGCAAGTTTATTGGAGTCCTAAGGCGACCAAAAGAGATCTGAAACAACGCACCTTGAGGTTCCGCTCACCACCATCAACAGCTATCTTATCTGGTTGTAAAGCTTCATACTCTTTGACATCAACCCAAGCGACCGTGCCAAAGCCTCCAATGAAATATATATCACTGCCAATTGTCACATTGAGAATGGAGTGGATAAGTAATAGGAGACAAACAATCATCCTACATGTATTGGTAATTTGGAAGGCACAAGTTTTGAAACAAACCTTATGTTCTGCATCCTAAAATAGTGAAAGTTTCCCCATTGCTCAGAAGGCCTGTGCGGGTGCTTAGCAATATATTGCTTATGAGCCCACTCCTACCAAGCAACAACCAGAGATATTACGACCCATTACTCAGACATACAGATGTTTCGCAGGTGAGATTCATGCATAGACAACCATAAATTGAAAAGGAAAAAAGTAACTAGACACCCACCTGTTCATCTTCTGACAATGGGTATACATCACCAAATAATGTCACTCTAGCATTAGATAAGCCACTCCATCCAGGTATCTGCCAGTCAAAATCCCGGTTACATAAAAAAAAGGGAAAACCTCTTGCTTGCATAATTTAAACACAATAATAGCCAATGTTACCTGGACAACGAGACTGCATCTCGGTTCAGCCAAGAGATTTCGTGTGTGGATGGCCAACGGTGAAAATAAAAATATTGGATCTGATAAGAAAAAGTCGAAGCCATTCAAGAAAGGAGCATCTATTATATCTCAGCCAGAAGACTCAAGGCATTAACTGTGCTATTATCATTTCAGTATTGCCTTCAATACTATCCAGACCAAAAACACTCCTACATGTACATATTTAATGAGATTTATGGAAAAGGGGGAAACAAACAATTTTGAGTTCACTTTCTACTATTCTTCCCCACCAAATCCAAATCAAGTTAAAAAAAATTACAGTGAAAGTTAGAGACTTAGGAACTAATTGACCACTAGTAAATCATTAAACTGATATTCTGAAGAGAAACTGAGCGTGCAACAAAAGAAGACACTGTAGAATTAGGAGCAAACAACAAAGAAAGAAAGATTCAGTGACTTACGTCCCATCCGATCAGGTGCAAAATCTACCAATGAGCCAAATGGGTATCCTTCCCTGCGGTGGTGCATTTTGGACATCACTGTGCATAGATGAGCAAACCTAGCCTTGAATCATACAAAGAAAACAAGACCAGACAGAGAAAGAACTTGAATAATCTTTTCTCAGTTTCTCACTGATGTGAAAAGAACAATATAACAATCTAAAGTACAAACCCTTTACCTGTTCCAACAAGTTCCGTACAGCTAAAGCAGGCCGAGGTAAAGCATGAGCTGATGTAGCATTTTGAACACCACCAGATATTGGAGTTCTAAAAAGTCCAGCTCGATTTCCTCCACTCCCCTGAGGATGTGCAAGAGATGCCTCCACATCGATTACACTATGAGAAGTTTCACCATTGCTATTACTCCCGAGCTTTTCCTTGACACCACATAACAAGCTATTAATCTATATGCCAAAGAAAACTATCTACTACAAATTCATCTTTGCACTAATCTAAGATTCGATTCCACACAAACTCTGCATCAAAACCAAAGTTTTAATCTTTTGCTGAATTTTTGCATACCCACAGCAAAAGTTGTAATCTTTTGTTGAATTAATTCATCAAAAGACAAGAGAATAAGTACCTGTGATAAAGAGAAGATATCCCCAGGAAAAAAACCGAACCCATTACTTTCAGCCATATTATCTTCGCCTTCACTTGGTGTCTCGTTATGTAAGAGAGCTTGTATACGAAGCCCGTGACTTGATCCATTACTGATTCTCAGCTTCGGGAATTGCTTTTTGGGTAGCGAATTACAAAACCAACAGGAAGACTGGGATGAAGTGGGCAGCGAAGGTTTGAGGAGAGGCTTTGTCTGTAAATTGGGGATGTGTGTTGAAGTGTAGAGAGCTTCCATGATTGAGGAGAATAAGATTTAGCTTGAAGAGTCTGATCTTTCACTATGGCAGATGCTTCAGGCGACTTTGTTGAAAGTAATGCTTTAGGAATTAGGACTTTTCCAGAGTAGGGTTTGTAAAACACATACATATAAGGGGTTTTTCAATTTTTTTTTTTTTTATACTCTCTTTTGTTTTGATATTGATAATAACGAATTTTACTTGAAATAAGAAAATTTGTTTTTTTTTTTTTTCGTCTGAATTATTCCATTATATAATACGATTGAATGATACAAGGGTGGGATGCGGTTTTGGTATACAAAGCCAGCAAAAGATAAACTCTTCCAGATGAAATAAGAAAATTTGTTTCTTTTCAATTTATATTTTTTTAGTGATAATAACAACCAACTGTTGCTATTCCTATGACTATTGGATTACCATTATTCCGTTTCTAAAATCTTCTTACTGTTGATTAAAAAACTACTCATAGGAATAGCAATGCTATATTGGTATTATTAAGTTTAAATAATCAAATTTTAATCGCTTAAATATAATAATAACCATTCTTTTAAGGGAATTGATGAAAGTAGAGTGATTTTAAACGTTTAAATTCCTCCTCTAAAGAAATTTCTATCATCTCATTCGGTTCAGACCATTTTAATTCTAAAACGTTGAAAAGAAAAATCAACAAGTCCAATGGTCAATGACACAAACTCCTTTAATTAAGGCACTAATGTCCTAATTTGTAATGCGGGACCCACGTCAATTTTGTTCAAACGTTGTCGTTTTCAGCCCATCCTTCCTCCGAATCCACGCGCCACCGTCTAAGCTGTAGCGTCATTGCACGCGCCATTTTGCTTTCAACCGCTCGAATCATCCCAGCTGAAACTCCGGTTACATCTTCCACCTTCTTTAAACTTTGCAACTTCATCGTGTTCTTAACGCCGAACCAAAACGCCGCCGCTAAAATCACTCTCTTCGTCGCTCTCGGCTTCCTCTCCGCCACAGACAAAGCGAGTGACGCATACGAAACGACAGCGTTTGTTAAATCTCGCTTTAGTCCTAATTTACCACACCAATTTACAAAAATGCCATCCGCCACCGTAACCGCAACGGCCTTAGCCTTCACTCTGTTTTCCCTCCCTCGCGCTCTGTTTACGCCACGCGTCGTCGACGATAGCTCGGAGCTTGAGACACAATCAAGAGACGAGCAGCAAGACGAAGACGAAGACGATGATTCAGAACAGCAAGTTGTTCGTGGAGGCCAAGGAAGAAGAGGACCAGAAACGAAATCTTGAGTGAGAGATTTGCAATTAGGGCAGATGACGCGACGGAAATGACGAGCGAAGAGGAAATTTGAGCCATGGAACTTAGCGTCACAAGAACGGCAGAGGAAAGCTGAGTCCGCGGCGCAGTGGATATCAGCTTCGGCACCACAAAGCTCGCAGAAGCTCACCATTGAGTCGATCTATGATCACACAAGTAAGAAAAGAGAGAGAATTGGATTGGAATGATAATGATGATGATGAAGATGGGAAGAGAGATTTAAGGAAGAGATGTAAATGATTGAGGGAGAGAAAGAGCGGTGGAGTTTTTATGGTTCATGGTTGATGAGAGTAGTCTCTTCCACAGTTCACACTAGGCCTGCGACTTTGAGCCGAACGGTTAATTCGGTTTCGGTTCTTCGGTTTTTCGGTTTATTCGGAATTTGAAACCTATTCCGAATTGAACCGACTAATAATTCGGTTCGGTTCGGTTCGGAAACGGTTTAGTCGGTTTTTGTAATTCGGTTTAGTCGGTTTTCTACCAAAAAGAAGAAAATTAAAATTATTACAAATTCAGAACATTCATCATGAATATACAACAACAACTCAATAACTTGACATAAATGAAATACAATAGATACATAAGATCTTCCAAAAAACAATTAACCTGAAAGGAATGACAAAAAACCAATGATCCATTACGCCTAAGTTACTATAGAGCATGGATGCATTTGGTATGTTGTCATTGTTCTCCTGACGCCAAAAGAGAAAGAGTTTGTTGTTCAAAAATCAAAAATAGAGAGAGAAAGAGACAAGCCTTTAAACCTTGAAGATCATATGTGTTTGTCGTCACCTTGTCTGTTAGGCAGAAAAATAAGAAAAAAACAAAACTGACTTGTTAATGAAAGACTAAAGTAAAAGATCGAGTGTACCTCAATTTCCAACTCCAATTCAAGGGCCAACTGATGATTGGGCATGAGTCTGTGAACCTACACAAGGCAAATGAAATGTAATTGAGTCTATAGTAAAAACCAAAAAAACTTAAAGACAGAATGATTACCTAAAGACTCATGAAACTCCAATTCTTCAAACATTTGAACCAAGTTTGCTAACTTCTCCTCATGAATGGTATTTCTAAGCCATTGTTGAGTGCAAATCAATGATTCAACCATGTGTGGTGACAAGCAACTTCGGAAAGGGTCCAAAATACGACCACTGGTGCTGAATGCAGACTCTGAAGCCACAGAGGAGACCTGAATGGCAAGCACATCTCTTGCTAACTCTGATAAGATTGGGAATTTAGAACTGTTCTTCCTCCACCAGCTTAAGACATCATAATCCAATCCCAAACCATTTGTAGTTCTTGGCACTTGTTTCTCAAGCAAGTAAATGTCAAGTTCACTACTAGCTTCTTCATTTGCAGTCTCTGCTAACATCTCAGAGTACAAAGAGTCCATCCTCTCATAACCATCATCATCTGCCAAATCAAACAAGGCACTTACATCGGCTGCTTCTCCTTGATCACTTCTTGTTGCACCACTATCACCTTGAGAAGAGGTGCTCAGCCTCACCACATACTCCTCATATAGCTTTTTCATCACACCCCTAATCCCTGATCTAAGATGATTAGCTTCCAGGCTATCTTTCCCATACAGCTTGTCAAAACAAAGACTTGCAAATTGCATTTTGTTCCTCGGATCAAAAACACTTGCAATAATCACAAGCGGATTCATGTTGATAAGACCATCCCAATACTTCTCAAATTTAGCCCTCATCGCCATAGCTTCTGTCTTCAATAGTGTATCACTGTTGGTGCTTAGATTGATCAAATTTCTCTCAATGGTCACAATCTCATTGTAGCAAATAGAGGATGTCACTGATTTAGATGCTGAAAAGGATAGAGTGCAATTGAAAAAGATTTTCAGAAACTTACATAACCTTTGCACTTCTTCCCAGCTAGCAAAAGTCGGAGGACCAATTCGTTTGCCAGCATCCTCATCATCATCACCAGCAGCCTCTCCATTTTCCTCATCCTTTTCCATGAAATACTCATTATACAATTTATCCTCAGCCAACATCTTATCAAATGCACCCCTAAACTTGATTGCGGCTGTGAGCATAAGATAGGTGGAATTCCACCTAGTGACAACATCGAGGCACAAGCTTCCTCTACTTGCATTTCCTGTCTCAACCCTTGATTTAAAAGACTTAAGTCTGTCACCCGATGACCTCACATACTTGATAGCATTTCTGATAGCCATTATACTATGATTAGCTTTTGCTAACCCATCTCTAACTATCAAATTTAGAATATGAGCACAGCAACGCATGTGAAGGTACTCACCACCTTTTACTAACGCATAAGGATCTCGCATAATCAAATCCTCTGTGAACAACCGTAAAGCTTTCTCATTTGCTTTTGCATTATCTACAGTGACTGTGAAGACCTTCTTGATGCCCCATTCATCTAGGCAGCCAATCAAATGTGATGCAATGGTATCTCCCTTGTGATCAAGGACAGGCTTGAACCAGATGATCCGTTTCTGCAATCTCCAATCTTTATCAATCCAGTGAGCTGTCACCACCATGTAACTACAAGAAGTTGTGGTAGCTACCCATATGTCTGATGTCAATGAGACTCTCTGTTTTTCCTTACCAAACAACTCCTTCAAATTAGCTTTCTCTTGCAAAAACATTGCATAACAATCTGTAGTGGCTGTCTTCCTGCAGTGAACCGTGTACATGGGGAGATTGTTTCCACAAAATCTCCTAAACCCCTCTGATTCCACAAATGCAAAAGGCAGCTCACAAAGCACTAACATCTCATTCACTGATCTTCTAAACAACCATTTATCATACTTGATTGCTGTCATTACACCACTGCTATCTCCAGCTAACACTTTCTGATTATCACTCTCATACATCTTGAATAACTTGCACCTTTTGATGTGATTGGTCATAGCACTTGTTCCAGTTTTGACTGTGTCGCACCCAATCAGTTGGCCACAGTATCTACACTTGCTTAAAGCCAGATTGTCTTCTTGCTGAACGAAATGCTTCCACACAGGTGCTCTATGAGCTGGCCTTTTCCTCGGTTTGACTGCAAAACCAGAACTTGATCTCTGAGATTTGGTTCTTTTTCCTCCAACTGAAGAGGGAGGTGGACCATCTTCTTCTCTATCAATCTCTTGACCAAGATTGTCATCATTGTTGTTTTCTGATTCCGACTCCATCTGCGAATTAAAAGAACAAACAATCAGACAAGAGATTACATAATCAAATGAATAACAACACATAAAAACAAAATGCTCAAAGCCAACTCATATCTATAGTAACGTTCATGATTAAATATGTGAAGGTATAATCAGAGAGACAAGAGATGTGAAACGCCACCGCCACCGCCACCGTCGGAGGAAGAAGGAGGGTGAAAGTGGAAGTGGGAATCGATGAGATACAGAAGAAGAAGAGAGAGAGAGAGAGAGTACCAGTGTAAGAGATAATGGCGAAACGAGAGATTAAAAGAGAGAGAACTTACAAAACAACTACAATCGAACACTGGTGATGAAGATCGAAGTCGAAGAACACACGGAGTAACGGATGATGAAGATCGAAGCTCAATATCTCGAGTTTCGCCGCCTGAGAGAGAGAGACTGCGATTAGGTTAGGGTTTATTTTTTTAACAACTAATGCCTGATATAACGCTTATATACTTACGGATAATTTTCGGGTAACCGTCGGTTATGTCTATTCCGAACCGAACCGAATGCATAACCGAACTAATTTTATAATCATTCCGATCGGTGCAAGTTTACAAATATGAACCGAACCGATTCCCAGGCCTAGTTCACACACCAAAGAAAATTACATGAGCCAGAACTTTTTAGGGAAATGAAATGAATGGTGTTTGTAGAATTGGAGCCATGACGTGTCGTGAGGTTTTGAGGCTGGTGAGATTCTGTGGTCATTTTTAAAACCATTTTATACTAGCCGCCAAGTCATTCTTCTTCCTTTTGGTGTGACGTGGAGATTTAGTCAACACTAATGTCTTTTCAGAGTCTTGGTCTCATTGCAAATTGCTTCTTCTTTTCTTGGTTCCTTCCATTACATTTCTTCTACATTATTGCAGTCTTTTATATAAACTTTTTATACATTAATCTTTCGTCGAATACAAAACATAAAATAATACTCTTAATTTATAATCTAAGGATACAAAACACAATGTGTACACTGTGGTAAACCTGTTTGGGTTCTGATCCCAACTTGTGCAACAATAGTCTATATCTTGAAATCTTTCCAAAAATGGTTTCTTAAATAAAAGGATCTTTGAATAGCCAAGCTTACTCTGTTACTCTGTTAAGATATATTCATAGAGCCCCTCCTACACATCAGAATGCCCGGTTCCACTGTGACCTCTCCAGGGAGTTTTACTTCTTTGTTATCCGACCATAATGCCTCTGGCGTATTCTAAATGCCGGTTTTCGTAGCAGTACTTTGTTGGATTGTTTGAGATTTACTTGATCGTTTCGGGGTTTAATCTTAAGTGGGTGAGCTTCTGTGTTGAATACCCACTCGTCTAAGGGAATGACTGTTGTGGGCGAGAAGAGTAGATAGAGATACTTGAGTGTCTCAGCAAGGAAGAAGCTTTGCATCTTGTTGTCCTTAACGCCTGTATTAACCTGGAAATGATTGAAAGTAAATAAGAATCTACCATCAGTTACACTTAAGACCTAATATGAATGGTGGAATGATATAATTCAATTCACCAAGGTTTTAACAATGCGGGATCTAATTAGGCGCCTACAGAAAACTTACATCCTTCAAACCGACATATCCAGACTCTATGCGCGAGTTCTTCTCAAATGCTTCAAATATATTCCATCCCCATTCTTGATATGTCTTGTTGCCAGTTAACCGCCAGAGGTAAAACAGTGATTCGACAGTTTCTGGTCTCAAGATGTTCCACGACGTTCCAACACTCATGTCCTGAATCACCATGTTTGTGGAATGCATATACTAAACAACAAATTACGCATAAAATAAACAATCTGTTTGAAAAAGACATGCAAATGACATACACTCCCAGAGTTGAAGAAATAATTCTCCCCAGCCAGTTTTGTTGGTGTTGATTGGTAGAAGTTATAACACGTCCATGCAAGCTGCAAGATATGTGGAAAATAGCAATAAAGGCTAAAGCTCAGACAGCCTAAATCAGAAAAGCAGAAAATTCAAAGATCCGAAGCACCTATGACTATGAGGCTATGATCAAAGATCATTCAAGCCATAAGTTTACCTCTTCGGCGAGTGAGAGAAACTTCTTTCCTTCAGCAGGATCACTATACCCAGATGCTCCTAAAGCCAACATTCCGGGAGCAAAGCATGCCAATTCATCCATCTGAATACAGATGAGAAAGAACATGAGACTGGAAAGACCTGGCAATGAAACATTTTCATGTAGTACAGTAGAAACAATGAACAGACGGGTTTACCTTATCGATCAAATTTCCATTCTTCTCACAGATATATGTAAACGACGACGGTGTAGATTTCCTAACCAAGCTTAGCAGACCATTCATTGATTTCTCCCACATATCTCTGATGCCAAGATTTCAAGTAATAACAGTACAAATTATTATTGTTTGGCTAAAAATGTTGAAACTACAAGACCAGCAAAGATAAGAAGAACATAGATATCAAGCAGAAAAATAATTGTGATGGCTGCTGGCTGAAATTAGCGGAGTTGATTTCAATCAGCTTTCAAATGCTCCAATGTTACGTTTACCATTTAATTTATAAGACATATACACTCAGTAGACTAGAGTTAAACTTACCTATAGTGTTTCACTGCTGAAGTTTTGTTCCCAAACACCCAAACTTTGAGCAAATATTCGTAAAAGCTGTACGCGAAATATTAATCGTCACAAATCAAACCAAAGCAGAACCAGAAGGGTTCATACGAGCAGTAATATAAAATGCAATCAAGTTGGAAAACAACCTGTCTCCCATGGCACCAAATGTTATGGTAGAGTACGATGGAATAGCTGTATCGGGATTTATATATATCGGAAGTAAACCATCAGCAGGGAAGTTCTTATTTAGTACTGAAATAACCTTTTCTACCTGAGACACGAGTTAACAGGTCAACCATTGAGGTGCAATTTATTTCCACCGAATAATGACAATATGCATCCTGACCTATTGCCAACTTTAATACCTAATCAGTATATAATACAACAGAATAAGCTAAGAAATATGTATCCCCCATCCACTGGTTTATAATAAGCAGATGGATATGTAATAAGTCAGTCGTACTACAAATTACGAAGAGTAATTGCACCTTTTGCTGATATTTTGGGTCCCCTGTCCTCTGGGAAAGGGCAATAAATTCAAGCTGCTCAGTACCAGAATCTGCAAGAATACTGTCTCCCTAGTACAAGAAAGAAGTAAACAAATCAAATAAACCGAAAGACCACATGTACATGATAAAACATATGTGAATACATCACATTCCACAAACATTAAACAAGAGCTTCCTAGTGAAACAATACCTAGTTAATAAAGAATCTTTACTTTCGTCATGATCTTTACAACTAAAACAGTCTAGACACAAACAGAATACTAATTGTCACATAACTTGAAAAGCAGAACAGTTCGTTCCTGGCGAGTCCTGAAACATCTAAGAAAGTGACTGGAACTTAAATCTCAATTTTTCAGTGACCTCTTAGGAGCTCCTTTAGAAACATGTTCGAACGACTATCTCTATAAAGCTTTGCAGGCATATGAAAATCCGCGAGACAAGAAGAGAAAATGTATATCCACTGCTTAAGGCTTTGAGAAGATCGACAAGGAATATGACAGATAGGACTTACCCCCGCCCATGTAGGATTGTGAGCATTTCCATGCTTCAAGTTGATAATATTATATGGTATACCCGATTGAGTGTCCCATGCAGGCAATAATCTGTCTGCAATATCCGTAGCCTTTTCGAGGAAAATTTTATCCCCAGATAGATCATACGCACTGAGAAGCCCTCCTACCACTCTGAAAGCCAACAAAGAGAAAATCTATAAGCGCAGATGCTACACTTCCATACCACATATTCTGCTAACTCCACACAACAAATAACCTAAACAAGATGACTCTTCTTAGTACACGTAGAAAAACAACATGGTAAACCTGTTAAATGCAACCTTATGGTTGTCTCAAACATACTGGCAGCATAATCCTTGTCGAAATCTAATGAGCTTGCTACCCACCTGCAAATGAAAGACAATAAGCAAATGAAGGCTGGGAAAGATGAACAGGGAAAGTTGGGATTCGAACTTCAATTAATGGAGAAGAATACAATATCGATAGCTCAGAAACAAAATTATTCATAGGAGGTTGCAGTGTTAGCCAGAAGTATATAACAATTTCTATATCTTCTTGAAATAGGCTATGAGTTACAGTCAAAAGTGAACATTGCACAACAGATATGTTACAAAGATTCAATAGCCATTTCTATTTCATTTTCTCCACTTCTTATTTTTTTCTCAATAAGATGAGACAAGCCTGTTTAGAACAAGTCAAGCCAGAAAGAATCTTCCTAAGAAATGGGGAGGATGGAAGAAATCTACTCACTCTCTGGCTTTCTGAAACTGCTCATCTAGACCCATTATATAGAGTGTATCTAATGCATCTATCATAGTTGCACCCAGGCCACCAAAGCTGTCAACGCCGTCTTTTGTCTGGGGCTGATAATGCAAAAAAATTAACAAAATAGCTTCAGAGACATATATTTATAGCAAGTAGAAAGTGTTCTCATTTTGACTAGTTAAACCCAATACTTCTCTGAAAAGTGGTGAAACATAACATAAGCTAATAGCATTACAGCTAACTATTCAATTTCAAAAGAAGGCCTATTTGAAGATCAATGCTGATTTGTAGAAACAATTGTCACTAATATAAAGATAAAACTGTACCTGAAGCTCATCTTGTCCCCAAGCATACTTTTCATATGAACTCCAAGCATGAATCATTGCTTCTTTTACTCTCTGCATTCGCTGAGCATTAACTGGATCTTCCTGAACATCCTTCAAACTATTGACAGACACATCCTCAGTAACGCTCTTTATCTCTTCCAACTAGCAGAAAACATAACAAATTTGAGATCATCATAAAAATCTTATAACTTTCTCAACATTGAATAGTCAATCAAAATCTTGCAAAGCCACGAGACTGCATAATGCCAATATCGGCCACAGTGTATTTAAGCAAATGCAAAAAAAGAGGAAAATTTGGGTCTAATCAAATCCTCATAGGGAGAAGAAGAAATAGCTTACCATCTGCTGCAACCGCAAAACTTCTTCATTTAACTTGGAAACTTCAAACTGCAAAGTAAGCATACATTTTAAACACACATAAGTGAAAAAAAATCTATCTTCTTTCAATAGATATATGTTTAACATTGGAGTAATTCAAATAAAAACTCTACTTTATCTAAAGATTGAATTTTGAAATTCCTCTAGAACCCAGAATTATCCATATTGCTTCATTCTAGAGACCTTGAGCTGCCTACTTTATCAAATTCGATTAGCGCCTATCATGAATTCAACAGTGGTACCTGATAGTCTCGGGAAAGAGATTGACGATCCCAAACCACCATGGAAACAGATACGAAGAGAATGATGAGCAAAGCAAGACGTCTTGGTCTTCGGAGATAAAACGCAGGGTTGAAGTATTTCCATATCCCATGACCATTTACAAGTTTATTCCTCGCCATCTGAATTCCGACGATCAGATCAGATCTCGGAGGTGAGAAAATTTTGAAAAAGGAGAAGAAGAAATTGAAACCATGAATTGAAAAAGAGGAAGAGATCGGATCAGAGTAAAGAGAGGGAATGATCCGGTTTAAATTAGTTGGTTTGGGTTTGGTTGTTTATTGGTTTGGGATTTTGGTTTACTTGAAGATTGAGAAAAAAGTGAAAAACAAAAAGCAATTGTTTGTTTTTAGAAGAGGCCCAAATGTAATCAAGGACGAAGCCCACAGTAAAAGCATGCGTTGTGACGTCATAAGTTTTAGGTCTAAAACCTTCCATCCCAAGTTATCGAAATGATGATGATGAAGAAGGGAAACATTGTACATCTTCCGGAGGATTTGGTTGTGGAGATCACTAGGGTTCCAGCGGTATCTCTGAGACGATTGCGATCAACATCCAAAGGGTGGAACGCTCTTATCAAAGATGGGAGATTTGCTAAGAAGCACTCGGCTAATGCTCCTAGGCAGTCTCAGGTTATAATGTTGATGGATTCTAGGGTTTATTTAGTGAGTATCAATCTCCATAGAATTGACAACGACAAGGCTGCTCCATCTACAAAGGTAACAGGCCAATTCAGCCTAAAAGAATTCTAATAACTCTTCAGAAGAAGTTGATATACGTAACGTCTTTCACTGCGACGGGTTATTGCTATGCACCACCAAGATCAATAATAGAATGGTGGTTTGGAATCCATGTTCAGGTGAAACAAGGTGGATCCAACCTAGAAATTCCTACGAGAAATCAGACTCCTATGCTCTAGGTTACGATAATAGATCCTCCTCTTACAAAATCTTGAGGATGGATCGGTTTGCTGGTGATATATTTCAAACTGAGTACGAAATATTTGACTTCACCTTTAATTTGTGGCGGTTTGTTGGTGTGACTACCCACTGGTTCATACCACGGTATTGAAGTTGTGCACTACAAGAATATTAATTTTCTGTAACGTCCAAATAAACGCTATTTAACGATATTATAGCGTTTTAATAAACGCTCTATCATCGCCCGTCATAGTAGGTCGAAGACATAACATAACGGATTTTCGTTGTGCTATCGTACTGTTAAATATTATAGCGCTTTCTCATATGCAATCATATATTTTATAGAAATCAAAATTTAATTATGAATTTTGAATTATAAATTATAAATTTTTATTTTTTTAATTTTAATTTCAAATTTTATTTTAATTTTTTTTATTTTAAATTCTAAAAGCTCTAATTTAAATTTACAAGTATAAAAAGTAACAATTTATATAAACATTTACAATATGTATATTGTAGGAGAAATATATAGTAAATAAAATACAAACAGAACACTAAAAAACTTTTTGGGAAATACTTACCGGCTTGCTTTTAGTCAATACGGACAAGGTTTTACCTTACTGAGTTTTGATTTTTCAACAGAGAGATTCCTAAGTCTGCATGCCTCTTCCTAATTCTATTATGGATCGTGCTACGGCTTTATCAGCGTTTACAGAGGACCAACTTTGTCTACTAACTCATCTGGACGACAATCCATTAGATTTATATGTATGGGTAACAACTAAGATTGAGAGTAACGAAGTCATGTCATGTAGCAAGTTCCTAACAGCCAAAACTAATACTAAGTTGTCTCGGTGGATGAATTTCTTAAGCGATCATGAGAACAATGTTTTAGTGTGTTGCGAGAAATACGGGGTCCCCAATGACGTATTCTTACACATTGTGGGAGAGGATAAATACATACAAGTTCATTATAGTGGAGAATCTAAATTGACATTTCAACTCACTTATTATGTTCCAAGTTTGGTTCAAATCCAACAAGGTGTCTAGTTGTTGGAGGAGGCAAAAAAAAAAGTACCAGAGCTAGTGTTTTGAAACAGTTGAAAGTCACAACAAACAGTTGTGTAATGTTGGTTTTCTTTTGTGAAGGAAACATACATATTTCTTTTATGTGAACACCATGACGAATGACAACACTTGGTGGGTCTATGGATGATCCTAATTATCACCTTAGCTTTGCGTCTTTTGTGGAATTTGATATGGTTATAGAGTTGTGACATAGGTTTCATTGACTCGGAAGATGATATTTTCTGGATAGCTTTTGGTTCGTGGCCTCATTTACAGTTTATCAAAATCTTGGTTCTCAAGGATATACTGGTTTGTAAAATCTTATAAGGCCAATTTTATTTTACAAGTACCTTGGGACTATAGCTAGGTACATAGATTGAGGTATTCGCAAATACAAAAATGAGGATTGATTTATCAAGCTTTTAGTGAAATACACATTTAATTTATTAGTCTATTAAGAATGTAAGTATGATGACTTCATGAGATTCAAGATCTAGGGAAGAGATACATAATGGGCTAAAATGTTTGAAGATAACCCCACCAGCCAATTATTACTTAGAAGCATTTTGAATTATACAAAGAAATAGATGAAGTATATATATATAGGGATTGAGACATTCTACCACCTGATGCCTCAAACTATCTTCACTTCCCACTCTATCTCGTTTCAAAATTGTTTTCAACAATAAAAAACTAGATAAGGCATAGACTAGTGTGACAATTGTAAGACCATGCACTGACTTGGTGCTTCTCTTTTGCCTTCTCAAAAGAACTAGCTAGCTAGATACCTTGTTGGATTTGAACCAAACTTGGAACATAGCTAAAGAGAAATGGGGTAGGAGAATCATGTACATGTGTAGGTTTTGCACCATGATGTTCCAATTCTGTGTATTTACCCTTTTCCATAATGTTTATGATGTTCTTAGAATACTGATTGGGTTTATTACAAGACAATAGAACTTCTTTCTCATAGTCGGTTAAGAAACTCACCCCATTACCAAACTGCCTAAACCGAAAATGATTGTGGATATCATCGTCCCAAACTGTGAGGAGCTTGCTCCATGACATTGCTCCGGTACTCTCACTCTTCGATGCTATCCATATGTCATAAACATTTGACTTAAAGAAACCATGTAGCAACATACAAAGTTGTCGCCCTTGTCTAGTCACAGATAAAGCCAAAGGAATAGTGTAAACATCGCCAGGAAGAGACACACTACCAAATCTCTCTGTAGAGAAATCAAAACTTAGTAAGAATGGTTGATAGTGATCTTCATGTTCCAAGATTTGAACAGAAGCAAGCCAGTAAGTATCTCCATTCACAGACATGCCATGAGTATGACCCCATATAACAATATGTCCATTCACAGATATGTCATAAGTCTCACCATATATAATGACCCAGTTTCTACTCTTACCAACAACAACAACCCTCCAAGAATTGGAGGTGAAGTCATAGACTTCGATATCAGTTTGAAATATGATACCATGAAGAAATCGTTCCATCCTCAAGATTTTGTAACATGAGGATACTAAGTTTAGGTTTTTGATATAACTATGAAGTATATTAGGTAGTATTACTTTCTCTGTTGAGTTTGGTTATCGTAACCTAGAGCATAGAGGTCTGATTCCTTGTATGAATTTCTGGGTTGGATCCACCTTGTTTCACCTAAACATGGATTCCAAACGACCAATCTATTGTCGTTGGTGCTACATAGCAATAATCCGTCGTAGTGAATGACGTTACGTATACCAACTTCTTCTGAAGAGTTATTAGAAAGAGGACCTTTTAGGATAAATTGACCAGTTACCTTAACAGATGGAGCAACGTTACTGTGAATTCCATGGAGATTGAATCTCGCTACATAATGCCTATAATCAATCAACACAAGAGTCAGAGAGGAGGAGTGCATCAGAGCATTAGCAGAGTGTTTCTTAGCAAGTAATCTTTCATATTTGATCAGAGCGTTCCATTTCTTGGATGTTGATCGTAATCGTGCCAAAGATAGAGCCGGAACCTTAGAGAGTATTTCCACTAGCAAATCCTCTGGAAGGTTTCTGATCATCATCTCTCACAAAAGACTGTGATTAAACCAACTTTCTGAGAGAGTCACTGATCATGGAGAGGTAGAATCAAGAATCAAGATAGTTAATCTTTTTTGTTTTTTGTTTGGTACAAACTCTATAAATATGGGAAAGATCATATACAAGAGAGAAGAGTAGAGCTAGTAAATTTTTTTATTTTATCCTTTACACTCTAATAAATATGGGAAAATTTTGTCTTTTGGTCCACACAGATCTTTTACTTCATTTAGTTTGTAAATATTAAATATTTTGCTAAATTTAATTCTTACTAACTTTCTTTTTCTCAACATTTAATTATTATTACTAAATTAATTATTATTTCTTTGGTTATAATATTATAACATTAAAAGCATATTCAACTAAAATTAAATGAAAATAATTTTATATACTATTTTTTGGGCTCAATCTTAGTAAAATTATTTATGCATTAAATATTTTCAGATTTTTAGATAATTTATATGTTTTGTTTTATTGATTTCGTTTATATTTGGTAAGCTTTATTTATTTTTATTTTTTTGATAAAATAGGTAAAATATGTTTATAGCAATATAGATTATTAAAAATATATATAAAAAGTAATCTCTTATTTTTAATGTGACATAGCCGAGAAAACTTACACGTAACACTTAAGACAATTACGTTATTTCATGCTAATAGCCAAAAAATAAAAGATTTACTAGATCTTACCTCTTATATATATGTGATCTTCCCATATATATAGAGTAAGATAAACCAAAAATAAAAAAAATAAACTACAATCTTGATTATACCTCTCCATCAGAGTGGCTTTCTGTGAAAGTTGGTTTAATCACAGTCGTGTCGTGTGAGAGATGATGTTCAACTACCTTCCGGAGGATATGGTTGTAGAGATACTCTCTAGGGTTCCAGCTGTATCTCTGGCACGGTTACGATCAACATCCAAAATATGGAACGCTTTGATCAAAGATGGGAGACTTGCTAAGAAGCACTCTGCTAATGCTCCAAGGCACTCTATGGCTCTCGTGTTGATTGATCATAGGGTTTATTTAGTGAGATCCAATCTTCGTGAAATTCACAATAACGTTGCTCCATTTGTTTCTGTAACATGTCATTTTAGCCTAAAAGAACGTCTTTCTAAACATTTTTCAACAGAAGTCGACATACGGGATGTCTTTCACTGCGATGGCTTATTGCTATGCACCACCAAGGACTATAGACTGGTAGTTTGGAATCCATGTTCAGGTGAAACCAGGTGGATTCAACCAAGAGATTCCTACAAGAAAGATGACTGCTATGCTCTCGGTAGATCCTCTTGCAACAAGTACAAAATCTTGAGGCAGGAACTTCTTATCAATCCTAGCCAAGAATCTTACGTGTACAACATCGTGAGGGGGGATTTTCTTATCAATAATAACCAAGAACGTTACGAGTACGAAATCTATGACTTTACCTCTAATTCGTGGAGGGGTGTTGGTGTGTCCACCGGCCTGTTCAATCCAAATATTACCACTGGCATGTCTGTAAACGGAATCATTTACTGGTTTGATATTACTGAACAATTTTTACTAAGTTTTGATTTCTCAACAGAGAGATTTGGAAGTGAGTCTCTCCCAGAGGATGATAGTCATTTGGCTTTATCTGTGACTCGACAAGGGAAACAACTTTGTATGTTATCTACTCATTCCTCATATGTGACCGAAACAAACGTTAACTTATGGATAGCAACGAAGAGTGAGAACACCGGAGCAATGTCATGGAGAAAGTTCCCAATATTGCATGGAGTCGGTCTACGCTATCGTTATCATTTTAGGGAGGGGGTGAGTTTCTTCGCATACCAGGTGAAGGAGAAGATTGTTGTAGTTTCTTGTCATAGACCCAACCGGTACTCCAAGAACATCATACACATTGTGAAACATGGTAAATTCATAGAATTGGATCATCATGGTGCAAAACCTACACACGAATGGTCTCCTATCCCACTTCTCCTCCTATATGTTCCAAGTTTGGTTCAAATCCAACATGGTATCTAGTTCTTTGGAGGAGGCAAAAGGGACGCACCAATTCAGCTAGTGCGCATGGCCTTGTAATTGTCACAGTACTAGTCTATGCATTATATAATAAGAAAATAATAATCCAACTCTTGATATTTTATAATTAAGATATATGCATTGCTAATTTATGACTTGTTATTCTGTTTGCAAGTGGAATAATGTTAGGTGTCTTTTGTTAAACGAGCATATATTGTCTTGATCATCAAATTTTTTTAATTTGAGCAGCACGACCAGTGTTGACACTTAGGTTTCTAAATGATCTAAAGACTTGGAGGAACGAGTATGTGGTGCCGTGCCCAAGTTTACCGGGGCTTAAGGCGAGGTTGAATTTTGGGACATTTCTAATATACTTTTTCTTTAAATCAAATAAATACATATATTGTGACAAAAAAACTACATGTAAAAATAGTTTTGAAACAAAATCACAAACATATCATCTTGTCTTGAACATAGAACTTGAGTAAACAAAGATTTAAAAGCATTGGAACATGATCCACAATTGGAAAACGAACAAAGTAAATATAAACAAGAAAATTAAAAACAAAAACAAGTTCGTCACTTTTAAAAAGGATAAAAAATCATCTATGAAACTATGAAAAGAAACAGAGGAAATAGAATTTTGGATCCTCGATTACCGTACCTATTCATAAAATACAAAGATCGTAAAACATACAACATATCTTTCATGATTTGGGGGCCTCTAAATAGCTATATATTTTGGGGGCCTGAAACAAATGCCATTTATTTAATCCATAGGCACAACCCTGCGAATATGTCACAGTTGACAAGGCTCGCTCTCTGCTTTTGGTTGATTAGGGTTTACGCTCAAAGCTTATGAGCTACAATTCTGTTACGCCCCAATCGAGTATACACATTAGGCTGAAAAGGCCTAAGATTAACGTTTTGTTTAATGTGAATATTGGATTTTAAATAATATATTTGATCAACTTACTAAAAACCCTTTATTTCTCTACTAGTATTCTCTCCTTTGCAAAATTAACAGATGGAGCAACGTTACTTTGAATTCCATGGAGATTGAATCTCACTACATAATGCCTATAATCAATCAACACAAGAGCCAGAGAGGAGGAGTGCATCAGAGCATTAGCAGAGTGCTTCTTAGCAATTACTCTTTCATATTTGATCAGAGCGTTCCATTTTTTGGATGATCATAATCGTGCCAAAGATAAAGCCAGAACCCTAGAGAGTATATATTTCCACTAGCAAATCCTCTGGAAGGTTTTTGGTCGTCATCTCTCACAAAAGACTCTTATTAAACCAACTTTCTAAGAAAGCCACTGATCATGGAGAGGTAGAATCAAGATAGTTAATCTTTTTTTTTTTGTTTTTTTTGTTTGTTTGTTTAACTTACTTTATAAATATGGGAAGATCATATAGAAGAGATAAAGACTAGAGCTAGTAAATCTTTTTTTTTTATCCTTTACACTCTAATAAATATGGGAAGATCTTGTCTTTTTGGTCTACACAGATTTTCTACTTCATTTAGTTCGTAAATATTAAATATTTTGCTAAATATAATTCTTAAACTAACTTTCTTTTTTTCTCAACATTTAATTATTATCATTAATTTCTTATTTTTTGGTGTTATTTTGTAACATTAAATGCATATTCAACAAAAAAAATAAAATAATCAATCAATGATCTGAAAATAGTTTATTACAAAATATTTTATATTTATACGAATTAAATAAAGAAATTGAAGTAGAAAATCTGGTTGGACCAAAAAGACAAGATCTTCCCATATTTATTAGAGTGAAAGTTAAAGGAAAGAAAATTTACTAGCTCTACTCTATATATGATTTCCCGTATGTATAGAGTTAAGTCAAAAAAAAAAAAGATCCATTTGTGGCTTTATTTGAAAATTGGTTTAATATCACAATAGTGTGAGAGATGATGACGTTCAGCAACCTTCCGGAGGATTTGGTAGTGGAGATACTCTCTAGAGTTCCGGCTGTATCTCTATCACGGGTACGATCAACATGTAAAAAATGGAACGCTTTGATTAAAGATGGGAAACTCGCTAAGAAGCACTTTGCTAATGCTCCAAGGCACTCTATGGCTCTCGTGTTGATTGATTCTAGGGTTTATTCAGTGAGATTCAATCTCCGTGGAATTCACAATAACGTTGCTCCATATGTTAACGTAACATGTCATTTTAGCTTAAAAGATCCTCTTTCTAATAATTTTTCAACAGAAGTCGATATAGGGGACGTCTTTCACTGCGATGGCTTATTGCTATGCACCACCAAGGACTATAGACTAGTAGTTTGGAATCCATGTTCAGGTGAAACTAGGTGGATTCAACCCAGAGATTCTTACAAGAACGATGACTGCTATGCTCTCGGTAGATCCTCTTGCAACAAGTACAAAATCTTGAGGCAGGATCGTGTTATCGATCCTAGCCAAGACGAGTGCAAAATGTTGTGGGAGGATCTTCTTAGCAATAATATTAATAGCCAAGAAATTTACGAGTACGAAATCTATGACTTTACCTCTAATTCGTGGAGGGGTGTTGATGTGACCACCGGCTTGTTCAATCCAAATATTATCAGTGGCATGTCTGTAAACGGAATCACTTACTGGTTTGATATTAGTGAGCAATGCTTACTAAGTTTTGATTTCTCAACAGAGAGATTTGTAAGTGAGTCTCTCCCAAAGGATGATAATTATCATTTGGCTTTATCAATGACTAGACAAGGGAAACAACTTTGTATGTTATCTACTCATCACACATACATAACCGAAACAAACGTTAACTTATGGATAGCAACAAAGAGTGAGAACACCGAAGCAATGTCATGGAGCAAGTTCCCAATACTGCGGGGTGGAGTTGGTCTACGCTATCGTTATCATTTTAGGGAGGGGGTGAGTTTCTTCGCATACCAGGTGAAGGAGAAGATTGTTGTAGTGTCTTGTCATAGACCCAACCGGCACTCCAAGAACATCATACACATTGCGGGACATGGTAAATTCATAGAATTGGATCATCATGGTGCAAAACCTAAACACGAATTTTCTCCTACACCACTTCTCCTCGTATATGTTCCAAGTTTGGTTCAAATCCAACATGGTATCTAGTTCTTTGGAGGGGGCAAAAGGGAAGCACCAACTCAGCTAGTGCATGGCCTTGTGATTGCCACACTAGTCTATGTATTATATAATCCAACTCTTGATATTTTATAATTAAGATATATGCATTGCTAATTTATGACTTGTTATTCTGTTTGCAAGTGTAATAATGTTAGGTGTCTTTTGTTAAACGAGCATATATTGTCTTGATCATCAAATTTTTTAATTTGAGCAGCACGAACAGTGTTGACACTTAGGTTTCTAAATGATCTAAAGACTTGGAGGAACGAGTATGTGGTGCCGTGCCCAAGTTTACCGGGGCTTAAGGCGAGGTTGAATTTTGGGACATTTCTAATATACTTTTTCTTTAAATCAAATAAATACATATATTGTGACAAAAAAAAACTACATGTAAAATTAATTTTGAAACAATATCACAAACATATCATCTTGTCTTGAACATAGCACTTGAGTAAACAAAGATTTAAAAGCATTGGAACATGATCCACAATTGGAAAACGAACAAAGTGAATATAAACAAGAAAACAATTGGAAAACGAACAAAGTGAATATAAACAAGAAAATTAAAAACAAAAACAAGTTCGTCACTTTTAAAAAGAATAAAAAATCATCTATGAAACTATGAAAAGAAACAGAGGAAATAGAATTTTGGAAATTGTGTAAAAAAGATAAGGCTCGCTCTCTGCTGTTAAGTCCAAAGCTATGGGCTACACATAATAATTTACAAAATGACGTCAAAGCTATGGGCTACACATAATAATTTACAAAATGACGTCAAAGCTATGGGCTAATCTTACTATAAACATGATTAGGGTCTTTTATTTCTTTGGCATCAATATGAATAAATGTGTTATCAAACCCTCAAATGTGTTATCAAACCCTCAAGCCTTTCGCGAAGACGACGCCGTTTGGGTAAAAATGGACCAAGATCAAAACGGCGACATTTTAGAAAAATGAAAAATATTTCACTAAAATCAGACCCAAAATAATAAAATAAAAAATCAAAGGAGCTTCCTTTTTTCCGCTCTCGTCTCCGTTTACCCTTTTGGTTTGGTTATTCCTTTAAAACCTTTGGCTCATTGTAGAATCAAATCCTCTTTATCTTTCATTGTTTCCCTTGAATTAGCTCTGAAAAGGTTCTTCATTCTTCTCCCTTGGATTGCTCTGAACAAAAGGTACCCATTTGACCTCAATTTTAAGTTTTTATTTTTTTCCGTGGAAGTGAGAGATCTTTGTATGTATGATATAGGAAGTGGGCTCTAGATGATATGTAGACTTGTTGAATTGGAGGGTTTTTAGTTGGAAGCAGTTATTTGCGGGATTTGGAATTGTTCTGTCTATTTGTTCTTTGCTTAAAGGTTGGGACTTAGGACTTACGAGCGTGAAAGAAGGAGACTTTTTCTCAATTCGATCTGATTGATGCCATGTAGATTCTGTGTTTCTCTCGTTAACGAGAAGCTACAATGAATTTTTGCTGCTGGATTTGGATAATTATTGTTAGGGTTTAAGGTGTTTGACTGTTGTTAGTTGTTGTTACTCGAGCTTAGATTATTGTCATCTACTCTTGTTATAAAAGAAGCTTTAAAAGACCACTTTAAGTTCTGGAAACTAAGAATCATACTTCATATCTTAAGAGCTTGTTTGTAGGGAAAGAATTTATTGCAGTAGAATTTTGACTATCCAGTAACTGTTAATGAGGTTCCTTTCCCTTAGGTGGAGATAGTTTCTTTGTATTGCAAACTCAACTATGTGATACTATATGGACCGTTTTGAGTTTCTTCAACCTTTCTTGTCTCGACAATCTAGCTTTCCGTTTCTATGAACATTCTAGTCTTAATTAATATTATGTTCCTTTGAATGTTATCGGTAACAAATTGAAGAATAAAGACCATGGATGAACTTCATGGAAACAATGGTCGTATGCACATTGGCGTAGCGCAAGATCCAATGCATGTGCAGTATGATCATCACGGCTTGCACCATATCGACAATGGAAACGGTATGATGGATGAACATACTGATGGTGGGATGGATGAAGGAGTGGAGACAGACATTCCTTCTCACCCTGGAAACTCAGCTGATAATCGCGGTGAAGTTGTAGACCGTGGTATCGAAAATGGAGATCAATTGACATTGTCATTCCAGGGACAAGTTTATGTTTTTGACCGTGTCTCGCCTGAGAAGGTAACTTTAATATTTCTAGTATTTTTGGTTCTTTGATGGTTTAGTTATGGATACATATGGTCAAAGTACCCAGTTGGTTGTTTTTTTTTTCTGCTTACTGAAGTGCTGGTCAATATTTCCACTGCAGGTTCAAGCTGTCCTTTTGTTACTTGGTGGACGTGAAGTACCCCAGACACTCCCGACATCCCTAGGATCACCTCATCAGATCAATAGGGTACTGGTAATATAAGATTTAATACCATATGGAGAATTCAGTTTATTCCTCAGTTTGTTGCTGACTAATAAATGAACCAGGGTCTATCTGGTACTCCTCAACGGCTTAGCGTCCCGCAGCGGTTAGCTTCTTTGCTCAGATTTAGGGAGAAACGAAAAGGGAGGAATTTTGATAAGACAATTCGCTACACTGTGAGGAAAGAGGTAGCCTTGAGGTACGTTTATGTCAAGTACTAGGTTTTGTGTATGTCGAGCTTTTGAGATACGTCTGTTTTGCAATTAAGGTTTTGTTTGTTCTTGCAGAATGCAACGTAAGAAAGGACAGTTCACATCGGCTAAATCAAGCAATGATGATTCTGGATCCACTGGATCGGATTGGGGGTCAAACCAGAACTGGGCCATAGAAGGGACTGAGACTCAGAAGCCAGAGGTTTTGTAAGTTGAAATGCTTTAAATTTCTTACAACAGTTATATTAACTGTAGTGAACTCGTTATAAAACCTCAATCAAAAACATGGAAATAATTTATTTGGTAACCGTTTTATGACATTCTTTTCACTTCCATAAACTTTATCTATATACTTCAACTATGAAACTATACTTATCATCATGGCTTCACTCAGTCAATACCTGGAACTTAGAACTCATAGTCGTGAGAGGATAACAATAACTGAACCGACTATGTTGTTGCATCTTAAGTCATTGTAGATGATATGAACTTATTTATAGCTTGGTATACTTGAAAAGCTTATCTATGTTCTTATACTTCTCAAATGGCTTGTGAACATGTTAAGATGTCGACACTGTGGAATAAGTGAGAAGTCAACTCCAATGATGCGACGTGGACCTGATGGGCCAAGAACACTTTGTAATGCATGTGGACTAATGTGGGCAAACAAGGTAAGCTAATAGTTTCTTAGTTCAAATTAATCACCTCGTCTCTTATCACTTTTTGGCTCATTGGTCATGCATATCTATCCGACTATAAGCCTAACAATAACAATTCTCTTTGACATTATAATATCAGGGAACTCTTAGAGACTTGTCCAAAGTCCCTCCTCCTCAAACACCTCAGCATCTACCTCTGAATAAGAATGAGGTGAGCGACCTCAGTTTTTCATAGAGCTGGAGTTTTGATTTGCTTGTAAAAGGACATGTATTCATTTTTTATCAACCACTTTGTTGCAGGATCCAAATCTTGAGGCTGATCAAATGAATGGAGTAGCTGATGACATTAGCAACTCACAGTGAGAACTGAGAAACCATTCAAGCAAGAAATTATCTCAACAGAAACAGTTATCATTTTCTTTTATGATGGAATCGAATCTGAGTTGGGTTTAGGGTTTCTCTGGGTTCATAATCTGTTGTAATCTCTGAGTCTTTGTGGACACCTTTTAATCTTTTACAAATTATAAGATACTCTTCACTTATTTAGAAGCTCACTCATCAGAAAAGAGAGAGAAAGAAAACAAAAAAAAACTTTCCTCAGTGTCTCATCTGTGTTTGATTATTTTTCAGTCAGATATATTTTTTTTTCTTGTATTTTGATTATAATTAGTTAAACATATAATCACAAGCGTACTTAGTAGAGAGAATGGAATCTTATATAAAAAAAATCGAAGCAATGATTGGTTATGTCGTGCAACCCAAGTGACCTTAATGTCGTACACACGTTCATCAGGTTAATACGAAATTTCTCAGCAACTTCACTATTCTCTCTCTCTCACATTGTTTTATTCTTTTCAAATTCCTTTTTTCCATTATCTTTCTTAGAAAGAATTTATTTAAGGTATGAAGATAATTGGTACCATTCTTCACATGATACGACGGTGAACAATAGAATATCAGAATACTAAAATAATTTTATTAAGTTATAAAGATGAATGGTATACCACTTTTTACATGCATAATTAGAATGATTTTAAAAAGAACTAGTTTTATGATGTTTTGTTTATCATAATTATAAAAATGTTTCAAAAACATGAAAATTTTGATAATTGTGTAAAATAAATTATTAAAATTTGCATACTCGCATTTTTAAAAAAATTGGTATACCGCTTGCTGTAAAAAAAAAAAAGAATAATAAATTGGTATACCGTTCGAACGTAAAATTAAGAAAATAAGTTTTTACTTTTGCAATGAATTGGGCAAGAAATAACAAAACAGAAATGTAGTTAGATCTAAAACAAGGAATGATTTTTGCTTAAAAAAATGTATTAAAAAATGAGATGATTAGATATGCCATGTTAAATTAATGGTAAGAGATGCCACCATGTTCTTCTTCTTCTTACCCGGAAAAATCTCTTTCTTCTTCTCTTACCCATAAAAAGAAAAAGAAAAAACAAACTTTCCACAAATTTTGCCAAACCAAACCAAAAATAGTAATGGCCTCATTCAATTGAACTCTCTCTCTCTCTCTTTTTTTCTCTTAGTTATTTTTTTAGAGTAAATCAAATATTAATGTTGGTTAGAAACTCAAAATTAGTTTCTCTTTTTTTTCTCTGTAATTGACAGAGAGGTAAGAGAAAAAAAAGAGAGAAAGTGTTTTCGGTTTTTGTTGCCTTCTCTTCTCTTCTCTTCTCTCTTACGAGTTAGGCCTTCTCTCTTCCGTCCCACCATCATTTTTTTTTTTTCCATAACGACCAAATCATAAAACAGGTCGTTCCTATTTTTCTTTCTCTGCGTTTTTTGAAAGAAGAAGAAAGCTGGGTGAGACGAAGGAAGGAAGAATGAGCACTTCGTCGAGCAATGGATTGCTCCTGACGTCAATGTCAGGTCGTCATGACGACATGGAAGCTGGTTCTGCTAAAACTGAAGAACATTCTGATCATGAAGAGCTTCAACATGATCCTGATGATCCTTTTGACATTGATAACACCAAGAATGCTTCTGTTGAATCTCTTCGTCGTTGGAGGCAAGCGGCTCTTGTGTTGAACGCATCTCGTCGGTTTCGATACACTTTGGATCTTAATAAAGAAGAACATTATGATAATCGAAGGAGGATGATCAGAGCTCATGCTCAAGTCATTAGGGTATTTTCCTTTTTTATATCATTCAACAACAAACAATCTTGTTTGTTTTTTCTTGATCTCACATCGATATTATGAATCAGGCAGCATTGCTTTTTAAATTGGCTGGTGAACAACAACTTGGTATGTATGATCTGATCTCACATAGGTCAAAATCAAATCTCTGTTTTTTTTTGGTTTCTTGGTGATTAATCTTTAGTTTCTTTTGGGATCAAGCAGCGTTTGGATCATCATCAACACCAGCAGCTTCAACTGGTAACTTTGACATTGACCTTGAAAAGCTTGTGTCAATGACAAGGAACCAGAACATGTCCAATTTGCAGCAATATGGAGGGGTATGATTCAAGACTCTCATATAAATGGTTCAAAGCTTTCATGATACTGAAAATAACTATATATATGATCTTTAATTCAGGTCAAAGGTGTTGCAGAGAAGCTGAAGTCAAATATGGAACAAGGAATCAATGAGGATGAGAAAGAGGTGATAGATAGGAAGAATGCTTTTGGATCTAACACTTACCCAAAGAAGAAGGGGAAAAACTTTTTTGTAAGCAAAGAGTCTTTAATAACTTCTTTGACGGTGTTTTTATCAGTTTGTTGATAACTCATAAGCTTTTTTAACTTTCTGTTTGTCCAAAAGATGTTCCTCTGGGAAGCTTGGCAAGATTTAACTCTCATCATCTTGATCATAGCCGCTGTAACATCGTTGGCATTGGGAATAAAGACAGAGGTATACATGCTTTCTTTTGTATAGTTTTTTAATTTTTTTAAATCAGGAATGCACTAATGTTCTGTCTTATTACTTCATCAGGGTTTGAAAGAAGGTTGGCTTGATGGTGGAAGCATTGCCTTTGCGGTTTTGCTTGTCATTATTGTTACAGGTATGTATGCTTCTTTCGTCTGTTGCCTACATTTTTGTATTTGTGTTCTGTGACAAATTCTTAAAAACATTCCTAAGCTTGCTCTTAATCCCTTTAAGATGAATCTTTCTTTACACTTTATATTTGATTGTTCAGCTGTTAGTGACTATCGCCAATCTCTCCAGTTTCAAAACCTCAACGATGAAAAAAGAAACATACAACTAGAGGTGCTTGCTTTAACATCTTAGTTTGTTTTGCAATTTCATGTTTTTGAGCTGATAATTAAATAAATGAAAACTCTTACAGGTCATGAGAGGAGGGAGAACAGTGAAGATTTCAATCTATGACGTTGTTGTCGGAGATGTTATACCTCTTAGGATAGGTGACCAGGTAGGTATACTTTGTCTTTATATATCAGCTGTGGCTTCAGAACTAAATGACTATTTGGCCTTATGTATTGTTGTATCCATATAGGTCCCTGCGGATGGAGTGCTAATTAGTGGTCATTCTCTTGCTATTGATGAATCTAGCATGACCGGTGAAAGCAAGATTGTGAGTTCATCATGGTTATGCTTGTGCAGTTTTTTATGCTCATCTTCTCTTTCTACTTGCTAACACAGACCATTGTTGCAGGTTCACAAGGATCAAAAATCACCTTTTCTAATGTCTGGCTGTAAAGTAGCTGATGGAGTCGGTAACATGCTGGTAAAGCTTTTGAGGCTTTTTTTTTTTTTCCCTTTTTTTTACATCTGTTTCACATATTTCTTCACAGTTCCTGGTAGTTATTCTTTGTGAGTCTTTTGACAGGTTACTGGTGTTGGAATCAACACTGAGTGGGGATTGTTGATGGCAAGTATCTCAGAGGATACTGGTGAAGAAACTCCCTTGCAGGTACATCATCTTGATCACTTATGGTCTCCACAATGTCTTGAGGAAGGCTAATATTTTCTTTTTATAATCTTGTAACAGGTGAGGTTAAATGGTCTTGCAACCTTCATTGGTATAGTGGGGCTCTCAGTGGCTCTTGTTGTCCTGGTGGCTCTTCTTGTGAGGTAATCTCATTTTACCTTGGTCAATAAATCTCTTGGCTTACAACTTCATGGCATGTTGAGGGCTATAACCGCGGTTTTGTTTCAGATATTTTACCGGAACTACTCAAGATACTAATGGAGCGACTCAGTTTATCAAAGGGACGACTAGTATCAGTGACATTGTAGATGATTGTGTAAAGATATTTACAATCGCCGTAAGTATTAAATTCCACATTTTTGATTATGTTATTCGATAGACATATCAATTAACTATGCCATTTGTTTAGGTGACAATTGTTGTTGTGGCTGTGCCTGAGGGACTTCCCTTAGCAGTTACCCTCACGTAAGTCTTACTTAATATTATCCACTCAGAAAATAACTAACTACATTGCAGGTGTTGATCTACTTTTTTCTTGACTCCATATTTGCAGTTTGGCTTACTCAATGAGAAAGATGATGGCAGACAAAGCTTTGGTAAGAATCTAGACGGGTGTTTTCGCTTTTGTTCTTTCTTCTTGGTTATTTTCTGACCATATTTTAAATGCTAAACAGGTTAGAAGGCTTTCAGCATGTGAAACCATGGGCTCAGCGACAACAATCTGCAGTGACAAAACTGGAACTTTAACATTGAATCAGGTTAGTATCCCAGTAAAATGGGAGTTTCTTCATTGACATGAAAACCATCATACCCTTATAGTCTTATAGATAGCTAATATTGCCCCTTGCAAAAATATAGATGACTGTGGTTGAAACTTATGCTGGAGGATCGAAGATGGATGTAGCAGACAACCCCTCTGGACTCCACCCTAAACTTGTTGCTTTAATAAGTGAGGGTGTGGCACAAAACACAACAGGAAACGTTTTTCATCCCAAGGTTGTTTTTCTACCTCTGATATTGTCGAAATGTCTTCGTTCTTATGGACTGAGACGAGCCAAAATGCCGACCTGCTTACTTTAAGCTCATCATGTAGTTATCAAATGAATGATGTTTAGTGCTTATGTTTTTTTACTGTAGGATGGTGGAGAGGTGGAGATTTCTGGATCTCCAACAGAGAAGGCTATCTTGTCTTGGGCGTATAAGGTATTAAATGTTTGTTTACTCTGGTCCATCTTTGACATATTTGTCCTCTGTATGTGCAATATATTCAAAGAAGCTGTTGTTGCAGTTGGGGATGAAGTTTGATACCATCAGGTCAGAGTCTGCTATCATCCATGCTTTCCCTTTCAATTCAGAGAAAAAGCGTGGAGGTGTTGCTGTGCTTCGAGTAATTGTTTTATCCTTTCTCCAATTTTCAACTTATAGAACTTTTTTACTTTAGAGGCTGATTATGCTTATACTAACTCACTGCAGGGTGATTCTGAAGTTTTCATTCACTGGAAGGGAGCAGCAGAGATAGTTTTGGCTTGCTGTACACAATACATGGACTCAAATGGTACTCTGCAGTCCATTGATAGCCAGAAGGTGAGGTGACTAAAAGAGTTTGAAATTAGAATCTCTTTGATCTTTTTG